TATCTTATTAGAGACTGTTTCGAGCCCGATAATCACACTTATCAAATCAACTATACTGCCCGTTCTGTCTCGTTCTCTAGGACTGCTTCATCTTCTAAAAGATGGTCACCTGTTTCTGTACCGCACCTTATGTTCCAAAACCCGCCTGTATCTTCTCCAATTTAGGCCCCCCAATCCCGCGCTATGTTCCAGTCCGAACGATTATATTCCCCAGATCCGAGCGAACAGTTAAAAAAAATCAGTCTGGTTTAAGTCGCAGCCAGACGGATCTTTCTGTGTGAGTATATCAAATATCTGAAACTGCTATTAGAGGACTTTCAATCGAAAAAGAATTCTGAAGGACTGACTTATTAATTATTTCTATTATTCTGAATCCCGGACAGGGCGAGATTGCCATTTACGCTATGTTTGACACTGGCTGTTCTATATCCCGTGTTATAAATAAGAGCTGAGCCGAAGCCCACCACCTGACCTTATATCCCTTGAACAAGCCTAAGCCTATAGTGGGTTTTGATGACCGTGAGAACAAAGCTGGCGTTATTATTCACTATACCCGCATGATTCTAAAGATCCATGATCACGTCAAAAAGAATGTCCCATTTTTAATTATTCAGCTAACACATTTTTCTGTTATTATTGATTTATCATAATTAAAGATTCATAATCCTCGCATGAGCTTTGCAAAATATATTTTCCAATTTTCTAGTCTATATTGTCAGAAACATTGCAATATTTCAGCTCGATCTGTTAAAATCCGAATCTTGCATGATGTCTTTGCCCGAGTCAGATTCATAAATCTAAAGACTTCCGAATTTTTAAGAGATCGAGACTTTCAAATAGTCTCATTAACTGCCTGCGCTGCGTACGCCCGCAGAGGAGATAAAGTCTATGTTTTAACAGTTGAACAAATTGATGAAGCAGTTCAGATTATTTTTAAACTATCTGAATCTGAGTTCTTAGATGAATTTAAAGACTTTGCAGATATCTTTTTTTCAAAAAAAACGAAAAAACTTCTCCCACATCGAGATTACGACCATACGATTATCTTTGAATCAAAAAAAAAGACCCCCGTTTGGGTCACTCTACGGTATGTCTCGAAAGGAATTCTCAGTGCTCTGAGAATGACTGTTAAAAAATCTAAAAAAAAAATTTATTCATTCAAGTTCTTCACCTGCTGCATCTTCAGTCCTATTTATAAAAAAACCAGACAGAGGCCTGCGCTTCTGTGTCAACTATCGAGTTCTAAATGCAATTATTATCAAAGATCGATATTCGCTATCTCTTGTAAAAGAGATCCTGAATAATCTCAAAGGCATGCGTTACTTTATTAAGATCGATATTATTAGCGCGTTTAACAATTTCCGTGTTAAAAATGGACAAGAATGGTTGACTGTCTTTCGAACCCATTTAAATCTATATAAATCTCTAATGATGCCCTTTGAACTGATAGAGGCCTCTGGAACATTCCAGCAATATATAAACGATATCTTGCGAGACTACCTTGATATTTTCTGTACTGCTTATTTGAACAATATTCTGATCTATAGCCGCACCCACTTCAAACATATGAAGCATGTTCGTCTAGTTCTTCAGAAGTTATGAGACGCTGACTTGTATGCAAAGCTCTCTAAATGCGAGTTTGCAATTCTCGAAACTAAGTTTTTAAGCCTGATTATCGATTGGAAAGACATCCAAATGGATTTCGCAAAAGTTGACACAGTTGTTAATTGATTCATTTTTACTTGTGTAACAGATGTACAAGCGTTTCTGAGATTTAACAATTTTTATTGTCGGTTTATTAAAGATTTTTCAAAACTTATTGCCCCGTTTGTTGTCCTGATTCGAAAAAATGTCTCGTGGAAATGAACATCTATCTGTCAAAAAACTTTAAATGATCTAAAGAAAGCTTTCATTGATGTCTCGATCTTGCAATCATTTGACTGAATCTGTGACATTATTTTGAAAACTGATGTCTTTGACTACATGTCTGCTGGAGTTTTATCTCAATACGGAGATGACGGAATATTACATCTTATTGTATTTTTTTCAAAGAAACATTTTTCAGCTGAATGCAATTATGAGATTTATGACAAAGAATTACTCGCTATTATTCGATGTTTTAAAGAATGGCACTTCAAGCTCGAAAGAGCTTCTTCATTCATTCAAGTTATCTTTGATTATTGCAATCTAGAATATTTTATGTCGATAAAGCTCTTGAACCACCGTCAAGCCCGTTGATCCGAATTTTTGTTTCGTTTTAATTTTAAAATTGTTTATTGATCTGAAAAATACGAAATAAAATCTGATAATCTAACCAGAAGGTCAAAAGATTTTTTCAAGGAGAGAGATGAGCGTCTGTTATATCAAAGCTAAATTGTTCTAAAACGTGAAAATCTTGATCTGTCTAATCTGGTTGAACGAACCAGCCCGCCCGAATCAACCAGCTCGCCTAAATCAACCAACCAGTCTGAATCAACTAGTTCGTTTGAATTAACAAGCTCGTCTGAACCAGTTAATTCACCTAAGAATCTCGAAATCTCGTATATAGATGAGATTTCTGATCGATTAGTCTCTATTATTAGAGCCCGAACTCGAAAAATTGTTATTTTTGAAAATAAACAAAGTCTGCAACTATCTTCTGAAATACAATTTCGCCTACATGAAATCTATAAAAAAGATAAAGAGATCCGAGATATTCTAAAGACCTTAACTACAAATAAAGATTATTATTTAAGAATCACTTTGACCGTCTGCGAGCGAAGAAGCAGTTTTTTATTCTACAAGAATCGTTTATGGATCTCTGACGATGACCAGCTAAAAACAGATCTAATTTGTCTGATTTATAACAAATTTGTGTTCGAACATCCAGAAAGAGCTCGAATGTACGAACTTTTGTTTCAAGATTATTACTGACTTAACATGTATAAATATATGGTTCAGTGGACAATAAATTGTCACATCTGCCGTTGCATAATCTTGTTTCGTGAAACGAAACAAGATATCTTGAAGTCTCTACCTGTATCTAAACACGTCTAGAAAGATATTTTTATGGATTTTATCATGCATTTGTCTGAGAACGAGAGCTACAACGCGATCTTAGTTATTGTGGATTGCTTAACTAAGATGAAACATCTGATTTCATGCAATTTAATTGCCAATGCCCCAGCTGTAGCCGCGATGTACGTGCAGCATGTATGGAAGTTACATGGGTTATTTCAGTCGATCCTGTTCGATAAAGATCTTCAATTTATTGTTCAATTCTGGAAATATTTGATCAAACGTTTGAATATCATCAACAAGTTATCAATTGTCTATCATTCTGAGATTGATGGTCAGACTGAGCATGTGAATGTCATGTTAGAACAATATTTGCGAGCTTATGTGAATTATCTGCAAGATGATTGGAGTACCTGACTTTTTTTGACTGAATTTGTCTTAAACACTACGCATTCTGAATCTATCAAGACAACTTTCTTTTTTGCGAATTACGGGTTCCATCCTCGTATGGGATTTGAACCAGTACTTATCGAGAATCATTGTGATCGCAATCGACCCGTTGTTTGAGATGCAGAACAATTTGTTATTCGAATGCAAGCTATTACAGAATTTGCTCGTGCAGAAATGTTATCAGTTCAGATCCGTTATGTTGAACAAGCTGATAAACGATGCCGTTCCGTCCGAAGATTCAAAAAAGATCAGTTAGTATGGCTAGATGCTCGCCATATCAAAACTTTACGACCTAGCAAAAAGCTGGATTGGAATACCTTGAGCCCATATCGTGTTGAAAAAGTTATTAATTTGCACACTTATTGTCTGGAACTCCCGCTCAGCATGAAAATACACCCTGTATTTAATGTTAATCTATTTATTTCTGTCTGTCCAAAATCTCTGCCTGGCCAACACCATCCTCCACCACCGCATGTGGAAGTCAATGAACTGGAGAAATGGGAAGTCGAAGATATCTTTGATTCGTTTTGGGACCGCTGCGGCCGCGACTGCCGCCTGATCTATGTTGTCAAATGGATCGAATACATGGATCTTACTGCTGAACCTGTTGAATATCTTGAATATGCAAAACAAATCGTTCAGAACTATTACCGCCGATATTCTGATAAGTCTGGTCTCTTTCAGCCTCACGGAGCTCGGCCATAGAAGGGGGGCGTACTGTCACGGTGCAGATCTTGATGCCTGAAACATCTTCTAACTATGGCCCGGAAAACCATATTATCCGTTCCGAGATCTGCATATTTTCCCGCTTGCTTGAAGATCCTGTTGTAGCTCTTCGAGCTACGTCTTGTCTATCAGCCTGTATATAGCTTGACCCTGTAGCAATTCAGAGATACTGTGAGCTATTAGCCTACCTGCCTGCCTGCCATCAGCTCTATCACCCCCGCCAGCCCGCACCTTGACATATTTAATAGAATATATACAAAATTCTTGAGATATAATATATATTTTTATAATTGTTAATTAAAATATTAAGTTTCAATGTTAAACTTTTTTAATTTTTTAATTATAATTTTTTAATTCATAATTAATTATAAATTTGATTTAATTTAAAAGAATATAAAGTCATTTTTTAAATTTTTAAAAGATTTATATTACAAACATATAGCGATAGTTGATATAATCTAAATAGATATAAAAAACAATATTATATTTTGATGATTGAATCTAGGTTAAAAAAGTTTAATCCGGATCCAAATTGGATTGGGTTTTGGGTCGAGATCTTCGACCCAAGTTGGGTTATGCGGAAGTCTAGTTCCGTCTGCTACAAATATCAGCCAAATTACGACGAGTCTGCCTGTGAAAAGTTGATCAGAGAATGGTCCGACTCACGCTACCACTCTTCCAATCCTGTTACGGTTTCGGATCCATTTTGGTCCAATAATACTTGTACTCCAATCTACGCGAACGGCACTAGTGTCTCTGGCGATGCGCATACTGGCGATCAGGGCTGTTCATTGGGATACCTCTCTCCTTATGTTGCGAATGCAACGATGGCACAGCACGTGCAAGCCACTTTGAGATTTGCGAACAAGCATAATATCAGGCTCACTATTAAAAATACTGGACACAACCCCGAGAAGAGGTAGGTGTTAATTTACACTACATTTATGGTAATTATCTAACTATTGCGTAGCTCGGGGTATGGAAGTCTATCGTACGTGATTTCCTCTGACGGAAGAATCCAAAATGGATGGCTGACCAAACTAGTATTTGGACACACCACATGAAACACATCGAAATTCATCGGTACTTCACTCCCACTAAATGCCGTTCAGCTGAGAGCCCTTTCGGGGCAGCAATTGTTGGCGCCGGTGTTCAAGATGGCGAGATCCTCCAGTACCTGGCGAAGAGAAACCTGACAACAGTCGTTGGATCGAACATGGTATGCACAAAGCTATTGTTGATCACAAATTTCTATTAAACTAAACGTGTACTAGGACGTCGGCGTTACCGGATGGGCAACTGGCGGCGGCCACGGTATTCTAACCGGAGTCTACGGCATGGGTGCCGATAACATCATCGAGGCGAACATCGTCACTTCACAGCGCGATATCGTTACTGCCAATGAATGCCAGAACAGTGATATATTCTGGGCCATCCGAGGTGGTGTGGTAGCTTTGGTGTCATTCTGAGCCTTACAGTCAAGGTCTACCCTGTGCCATCCCTGTCAACAGCCACAGTGAGTATGAGTGCTCGAAACGGGACATCGTCTACGACATGGTGGAGGATTATTGCTAGCATCCACAGAGAGATGGTTAAGCTTCAGGATGCTGGTGTAATGGGGTATTACACTGCCAGCGGTTACAGTTTCCAATATACCATGTTCCAGTTAAACACGACAGACACGGGCTCAATCGACCGACTAATCGCGCCACTGAAGATTCACTTCGACACGTATAATGCCACTGTGGAGTCCTCCTTCTTATCCTCCTGGATGCCTGCTTGGTATTCAATCGAGAAACTCTACCCAGCCGGTGGGGATGCTGGTACAACTCGTGGAGTCAGGGCGACTCGCCTCCTATCTCGGAGGGCGGTTGAAGATACTGAAATGTTTGCAAAGACGCTTGAAATTATTGGAACTCGAGATAAAGGCTACCCTGTAGGTGCCTCTGCGCTTGTTGCTTACGAAGATGGTACTAACTAACAATCGCGTTTAATAGGACGGCGTCTCCAGTCCTTCCCTCTCCGGGACTACGACTATCAGTCATAGAGAAGTTGATAGCGCACTAAACCCGGCATGGCGAAAGGCCTTTGTTCACATGATCAGTAGTGTGTCGTGGACCGACGGACTCCCTAATTCAGCTGCTGAGACAGCCATTATCACCATGACGAATGGGACCGGGTATGCCATGAGACAGCTGGCCCCAGATTCTGGCGTATACTACATTGAGGTATGCTTCACTTCCACTTGACAGCTTTTCCGGATATCTACACGGACTATGATGCTGACCCTAGTATCAGGCCAACTCTTAGGAGCCCGGCTGGCAATGGGCATTCTGGGGACCCAATTATCCCCGAATGCTGTCGATCAAGCAAAAGTACGATCCGGACAATCTGCTCTGGTGCCACCACTGCGTGGGTAGTGAGTCATTTGAGCAGATGAAAAATGGATCTCTTTGCCGGATCGTTTGACTATCCCATTGTTGAATATCCAGTCACTCTTTATTCTTCTTGTTTCTTATCTTTTCCGCGGTTCGAGCTATTTATATAAGTGAAGTAAACTTTCTTTTAGATTATAGGTTAGGGCTATCTTGATTTCGTAGTCAACTACTTGGATTATTTTAGTATCGATTTCTAGCTCCAATAATGAATTCATTAAGTTTGATTATAAGATAATTTCTATATTCTTAATTATAATCTGCTCTGAATAAGATGTTGTAAAATTCTCTGCTTAATAGTATATTTAGTTGTAAGACACTCTTCTATGAATTAATTATATACTTTAACTGATTCTTGCCTATAAATATTCCTCCCGCTATATTCTGGATATATATGATTAAGGGCCGCTATTTCTTCTATAGTTTGAAAGAGTGTGCTAATTATTGTCAACTCTGGGATCCTGCCGACTGCCTTCGCTAATAGAAGATTTATTTCTATTTTGCTCTTAGCCTATCCTGCTCTCTTTAAACTAACACCTGTTCACAGTGTAAATTGGGACTATAGGTCTCTGGACGATCCCTCAACGAAAGGACGACGAATATCAGTTGGTCATGCGCGGATAATTCCTGATGTATTCGACTGGTAGTGGAGAGAGTGGTAGACAGTATGGTAGTATCACTCAAATTTGATCACCCAGTTCCCGTTGTATCCTGTTTTATTCTTTATTATATGTGTATACGGTATCTTAGCGATTCTGAGAGGATTATAAGTTGAATGAAAGGTTGCATTATTATCATACCCTAAAACATCAATGGCATGGTGAAGTAATATTTTCTTATGCCAGCTGGAGTCACTTGGCAAAGAGATTTATTAAACACATGGAAGGAGAGTTGTCGGGATTTATTCTTCTGACAGAACAAGCCAGCCGTGACTTACTTCTGGCGACTGACGGATATCACCGATTGCTTGGTGAACACATACTTGCGCCAGGCTGCGCTGCCGTTGTTGTGACCGTCAATGACCGGCGTGTAGGATCAAGGAGGTGTCGCACACTAGATTGAATATCCACATCTATCTACGAAAATCAATCGACTTTTGCTTTAGAAGCATAACACGGTTCACTCCACTGTGTACATGGTACCTACCTGGTGATATCAACAGAGAGAAAGAAAAACATTACTGAGAGGAAATGGATAGTAGACAGAGAGAACCAATAGGTATATAGTTGAACAAAGTGAAATAAGACTAACCCTTGGAGGAATCTGGAGTTGTCTACCGATATTCGTTGGCGATAACCTACGTTACAAATTCCAGAAATTCATTTCATTTACATCACCCAATTACTTAACTTTTCCATCATAGAAAGAGAAACAGTTATTCTTCTACAATCACCGTGAATCCCTCCGATCAAACGCCAGAGGAACATTGCGAGCGATCCTCAAACTCATCGTGAACTCCACACCCTCCGACATCGCCAGCTCGGCGCGTTCTTTGGCCATGGACCAAGTATCCGGCTCCCTAACAGACCGACCACTATTCCCATCACCCCCCTTCCCGTCTTCTTCCTCGCGAGTCAAAAGACGAACCGAATGGTGTTTAAAGAGCACAGCGACGACAGCGCAGAGCTCAGCCAACCCAAACTGCTGCCCCAGACAGCCACGACTGCCATCCGAGAAAGGAAGAAAGGAGCCGGCCAGCGGAGTGAGAAATCTCGATTCGGGCTTTGGTTCATCGCTCTCCTGCCCGCTGACGTCCGCGTGGAGCCATCGATAAGGGTCAAAGTCGCGGTCCTCCGAGCGCCGGGGCCAGTAGCGCGGATGTTGGTGCGTGGCACTCGTGTTGACAAAGGCGACTGTCCCCGGTGGTAATATATGCGACTCGCCAGAGACACGAATGGGAATGCCTGGCGAATGAAGTGGGACGCACTTGGGTAGGACGGGCAGAAGCGGGAAGAGACGCAGGGCTTCGTGGATCACGGCGCCGACGAGACTGTTTATGAGGGCGCGGTGGTGGGTGTCATAGGACCAGCGATCAGGAGGAGTGTCTCCAAGAATGCGATCTAGGTCCGCCTGCATGGCGAGTTGGATTTTGGGGTGGCAGGCTAGCAGGAGGATGATGAAGGTGAGGGTGTTGGCGTTCGCTTCGTGGCCAGCGAACATGAACATGAAGATATTCCCAGTTACCTGAGCGGGGGTCAATTTGGCCTTGACGAAACGATCTGTGAGATGCGTCCAAAGGCATCGTGGACGCCGGCAAGGTTAGGTTAATGGGTCCTTTGTCGGGATGTTTACGGGGATGAGGAGCATCTTACCGAGAAGATTGTCCGCTTGGTTGGAACCCTTGAGGTCGGTCTCGAGCAGCTCGGCCTCTTTGGTTATGCGCAGATCTTGCATGTACCGGTCAAGCTCTTCATAGGCCGTGACAGCTAAGCGATGGTTCCGAGATGGCGACCATCCTGTTGCGCCTATCGGTTAGAATAGGGAAGAGGGTGAAACAATGTAATGATCGGGGAAGCGTTGCATACGAAGGAGCCACCCAGGGCATATGAAGACAGTCGTATAATGGTCCAGCAGGGTTTGCATTGCCTCATTATAGCCAAGGCGATGTCGATCCGGTCGATCCTCTTGGAACTGCAACGCGTCGACCAGGTCAGTCTGCCCTTGATTATCGAAGCATATCTGACTGAGCAAGTTCAGTGACAGTCGCGCCGTCAGTGATCGCAGCCGAAGATAGGCTGACTGCCGGGTCAAAGCCAAGCCCAGTTCCTTACCACCCGCAACTGAGAGGGTGAACACATTGCGAATCGTTGTGTGTGTGAAGAACGGAGCGGAGATGCGACGGTAGAGACGCCACTCCGGTCCGTCGGTACCAGAGATGGTCGGGCCGAAGAGATTCAGAACGCTTAGCAAATGGGCGGGCTTGCCAAAACGCTGGTCATGGAGGAGCTGCGAGGAGGCATCTGCGTCACAGGTGTAGAGAATTATACCCCCTGGGGAGACTGCTAGGAAAGTGTCGGCCCCGACTCGAGCGAAGGGCTCGTAGCCATTGTGCCAGGCCCTATCGAACTGCAGCAAAGGAAGCCAATGCTGCGTCCAGGACAAAGGGAGAAGCCGGAGGACGGGGAGCAAGACGGGCTGGGACAGAAGCCACGCCCCTCCGAGAAAGGAACAGGGAACAAGCACGTATGGAAGACCTGTGGACCGGGCCAGAGCGACGTGAGAGACCAAGCTTAGCAAAGACCATATCCCGAAAGCGATCGTTGGAACCACCAGGCCCAGGAACAAGGACAACATGGGGGGCCAATTGTGTAGGGTGGCACTGTAGCAGACGGCAGGGTAAGATGTGGCCATCGCAAGTATTATCTATTTTCGCTTAGATCAGGCGCTCGCGCCTTCGCATGCATGTCAGACCCACAGTGCCCGTGCAGTCCATGCTACTCTGTATGTATCCTCTTGAAGACGGACGCAAATGCGAGTCAATAATACGGGGGCCGAAGTAAGAGCCACATGCATCTTCACGGAGTAATCACTGAATGAGGAAAGGATTTTCTCTCTTAGCACAGATAGGTATGGACTCTTCAGTACTACCCTGCCGAATGTCAACCACGCTCGCCGCATCTTACTTGCTGTAGTCATTCACTGCTTAGAGGGGGCTGAAAAGAACACTGGAATTGACCCTGCGTCTCAATGCATATAGACGGTACAAGGTCTCCTTTCATGACGACGATCTCTGACAGTCAGAACCCAGCATGAGTACCGTGCAGGAGCCTTCTGGGCCTTCGCTGGTGACATCGTCGCTACTGGCCGTCGCCATCGTCTTCCCCATTATAGGCACGATTGCGGTGGCAGCGCGACTCTACGGCAACCTCGCCAAGCATCGAAAGCTGTTCGCAGATGACTACATCGCCGTGCTTGCCCAGCTGGCGGCATGGGGTATTTCCATCGACATGTACGTTGCCGCTGCGCTGGGTGGCGTCGACAACGCCAGCACCGACGTCCTCTCTGCGACCACAATCTTCTTAAGGGCACTCTGGATTGAGGGATTACCCCTCATCACCAGCTTGGTGCTGGTCAAGACGTCCTTGTTGCTGTTTTACCGCCGAATATTCGTCACTCCGGCTTTCAGACTGGCCGTCTGGATCTACATCGGCATCCTAATCGCATGGGGTATCGCGATCTTCGTGGTATATCATCATTCTCGCCAGTGTTCAGAGAGAGGAATTAGGACTTACTTGAACCTGTTAACCTAGGCCCAAGTACTGACCGCTGACCCGATCACTGCGGCGTGGAATCCAATGGCATCGAATCCCCTGCGGTATGACTACAACACGTACTCTATTGCCTTCGCGGCTATGAGCATGACCTTTGACGTTATCGTGCTGTGTTTTCCGATTCCCGTAATCTACAAACTGCAAATGTCGACAGTGCAGAAGTTCCAAGTCCTCGGCATTTTCTGGCTTGGTATCTTGTGTGTCCCTCTTGAAGCCCGTTCGAGAAACAGATGCTAATGGTGATCCCTTTCATTTCAGTTGCTGCGTTTCATCCGCCATCCGCTTCTACTACATCTATAGCGATATCCGGAAATCGGTCGCTAATATGGGTGCCGACCGCTATACCTCCAGCGCGACGGCCACGACCTGGGCCATTGTCGAGCCCAACATGAGCATCGTGGCCGCATGCCTCCCGACGTACGGTAATCTTTTTGGTATAGCCCCGGCCGTGCGCTCTGCTTTCCGCAGCCTCTGTACTTTTATGTCTTCGCGCGGTGGCGGCAGCGGCAGCGGGGGCAGGTATAGCAGCCGTGGTGGCTCGTCCTTAGGGTCTCCGTGGTCGCCGGGGAAGGGAAGCTCGGTGGTCATACGGAGTTCGGCCACGGGGGAGTCATATTCTCCTAGGCGGGCCTCTAGCCGAAATAACTGGCGGCTGCTGGGGAAGGGTGACGACGCGGACGTAGAGCTGGGGGAGCGTGTCAGTTCGGATCACATCCCTTTGGCTTCGGATCCCCAACGCATGAATATCTCGGTTACTCGGAGCCTTTCGCAGTGGGAGTCCCCTGTTCAGACGGAATCACGGCGGGGTGAATGAGCTCGATTGGCTGGTCAGTTAATTGGGTGCTTTTTGTAATGTGTATTAGCAGATGGGCCTCGGACTTGGGAAATCTACAAAATTTGCCGGTATACAAATAATGACAGTTGCTGTGCTCCGTATGTACAGACAGACTTCATCCATGTGCATAAGATGATCTTTTTGATAAAGCATATCAATCAATCAATTGTTCCAGAGACGTGGACTCGCTAGAGTGGCATCCTGCACCCCTCCCCTAAGCACCACACATCCACGAACCACGATTCAAGAAACAACCAACAAGAAAAGACAAAGGCAGGAAGCCTTACAATCAAACAAACCTACAGACTCTCCACCTCCTTATCCTGCAACACAGCCACGGTCCTCTTCACCGAATCCCTGGCCATCATGGCGTCCTGCCAGCGCGAGAAATGCGGAAACTCCGCCGGATTCCAGGCATGTTCACCCGTGCGGCCGGCCATGAAGAACGGGACCTGTAGGTTCCACATAACAAACGCGAGATCGGCATAGGTGCACTTATCGCCGACGAGCCAGTCTCGGTGAGCGAGGACCCCGTCCAGCATGCCTGCAATACGCTTGACTTCGTTGCCGTAGCGGATCTTGGGGCTCTCAAGGTCGTCGCCGTAGAACTTCTCATGGAAGAGATTGAACCTACATTTGATGATCAATGCGATTAACTTTAGACAAGAAGGGATTGGAGAGTACGGAGTAGATCGGGTTGTGGGGGTGTTGTGTTGCTTAGTGGGGACGAGCAGAAGGATGAGACTTAGATATAGCTTACCAAGCAGACTGCCCGAAGTAGGGACCTTGGCCCGAGGCTTGGAAGAAGGACCATTGGAGGAGGTGGAGCCTCTCCGGCGCAGTGCCGTAGGAGATCTTGTGGTCTCGGTCGTATGTCTCCACGAGATACTTGTTTGGGCGTTAGCTTGGGTTGTGGAGGAGTAGCAGGCGACGATGCATGAGGTAGATGTATAATGCACAGTACAAGACAGGGAGTAGACACGTACCTGCACTATCGCGCCAGATTCCCACAAAGTGACATCCTGGTTAGGGTCGTATATTGCTAATCCCATGCATGTCAGCGAGAAGCCAAGACGGGGCTAGGAGACGGAGGCCGACCAGGGACTTTGCCATTAGGATTAATATCCGTGAAAGGTTTCTGTCTGAGACCTTCCAGCTCGACAAACTCCGTCTTGTAAGGGAGCCCGAGCTCCTCTAGGATGACCAGAACCTTTGAGGGATTGGGGACCTGGTCTAGTAGGACATTGAATCAGTTTTTGGCCCTAATGCGAGAATGAACGAAGGCGACTCACTTCTCCAGTAGAGTTTAATTGGCTGCAGAGACATGGCGTTCGGTTAGGGGCTGTTGATTGCGTGGGAGACTGGGCAGTAGACTCGGTTCTGGTGGAATCGGACCTGTCGACTTAATATAGCGACTTGACGTGGGGGGTAAAATCAACCCTGGTTCCTGGCTGCCCCCTCATCGCGTTCTATGTTTGCATAGTATATGATGATGCATAATACGAAGAAACCAGGGTGTCTGTATCGTTGCGAAACAGCGGCTGGCTATTCTGGCTAACAGGCCTTAGGGCTTACGACCAACAGTCGAGCTCTTTGTGCCCGTGAGGCTAGCAGGTCAAGGAGGATTAGAATCCATGCCCTCAATATAGATCCAGATTCCAGCGTTACATCGTCCCAGTACGTGGGTCACATGGATCGTGTACCGCAGCTTGTTGATCCTTGTCGATAGCGGGATGAACCGCACTAATTGAATTAATAATAGAGAGGAGGAAGTTGGCTCGATGGATCACATCCGAATATACGAGAGCCCGTCCATACAGGAGGCTTGATTGCGAGAAAGATCCAATACGCTAATGATACCCTTGATAACATTTGTATATCGTGTAATGTAATGTATGTACAGTACCTTACCTAGGTATGTACCCATTGTATTTGTCTGACTACCACTCTAAACCTGCCTACTCGCAATATCTCGCGCTACATAGATCTGACCGAACAAATCCGTCACGTCAATGAACGCCTTGATGCGCCGGGCCGTCGGCCTGTCAACCTCCGTAGAAAGGCGAGCGAAATACAGCTGCATGCATTCCTGCTCGCCCGCCGCAATGTCCAGGAGAGTCTGCCTGCGAGAGTCTCCGTCGCCTGAGACGTCTTCTTTGAACTCATTGAAATCTAAACTATTCAGGTTTCCCTCGTCGGCATCGCGCCGACTGGACCCGTAGTCGTTGTACTGCCGACAGAGCGTAGCAAGATGCAAGGCCATGGCTCGGGAAAAATAGCGCGCCTTCGCGGTTCCAAAGCAGTACGGCCGATTCCGGCTAGCCAGGCAGGAGAAAAAAGCAAAAGAATAGGGGCAGCTGGTATCGTTGGCGCCCGTCGTGCGAACCCAGTCAAAGTACGCCGGACGCAAGGTGATCCCGTTTCTAAGGTCCTGGTTGTCGCGATTATGTGCGATATGCGCCAGCAGGAATTTATGCAGCTCTCTGGCAACTTCTTGCTGTGCGAAGCTCGGAGTCCGTGTCACACAGGGGTGTTGTCGCACATGTTGGATATACTTGCGAATGACGTCCGCGGGCTCTTTTGGAGATGGAGTGGGGGACTCGTTTCCAGAGTCTGATGGCACTGGCGTTGGTTGCAAGGTGTTATTTTCGCCCTGAATGATTCCGCTCTCCGCTTTCATTGGCAGGTCAAAGCACTCGGACTTGAGCGTTGTGGTGAGCCGGGATAGTTGGGCTACCGTCAACCGCGCGACATCTGTCTCCATGTATTCGTCGGCTTGATAGTTCAACATAGAGATAACCATCATGTCCCACATTGTCTTGCCCGAAAGGGGGAACTCCGTGGCGGCATTGACGCAGCACCAAGCGGCTGGGATATAATCGATGTACTTGTCCTCGGTCATGCGCATTTCGTCCCGTGGGAAGATATCCAGACGAACGGTCTTCAGCAGTTGCGAGTACAGCGCTGCTTCCGTGACGGCGAGCAGCAACGTTTTTGCCGGTGTCTGTTGAAAGAGCGGTAGACGCCCGAAGAATTTGGCCATGACTTGTAGCTTCTTGCCATCTGCAGAGAACATGGCGACGACTTCAGCCGGCCACTGTCTTTCATCGGCGGAGGCACTCATGGCCGCTAGGCAGTACGTCTCGCAGAGGATCGGCAGTTTATAGGTAACTTTCTCCACCCAAATGTAGTCCCCCTCTGTCCACTCGCTGTGATGGGCCAGGAGGTAGTCTCGGCCGCGGTGGAATGCTGTCTGAGCCACCTCACGAATGCTGTCGGACCATGGCAGATTCAAGAGGTGGGAAAGAAGGAGGACGCAATATGCAGTTCTCTCCGGAGAGCTCGCCCAGGATCCGTTGACTGACTGACGACTCAAAGTTCGCGAGAGTAACTGGAATAACGCAATAGGTAGGCGCAACGTGACTAGCTCGTGGGACAGGTCGAACAGCTGGCCCTTACTCCAGAGGTCAAGCAGGTGGGTCAAGGCAGTTGCCAAGAGCATCTCACTGTACTCTGAGGCCAGGTTCCATTTATCGAGAAGCTCGTCATCCTCCCAACCCGACAGGATAAAGCCAACGGCTTTTTCAATCTGCGTGGTATAGATACCGGGGTCTGGTGTTTGAAGCAGAGCAATCAGAATGTTAGCGTTGGCGCTGAAGCTCGGATTGCGCTCTAGCTTGTATGTCTGAAAATGGTCCGACGCCTCGAAGTGCTTGACGAGGGCAAAAGGGCTCACTTTGCTGCCCAGAAGGGTTATGGTGAGAAAGGCTCTTGCCGTGTCGTCTGCGTCCGCCACGAAACCTGGCGCAAATCCCAGCAGTCCTTGCTGCGTCTCGAACAGATGCATGAGATATCGATCGATGGTCTCCAATATGGTACTGTTGAAGTCGCCTACCGTGAATCCATTGGAGAGGAGCGTGGAAATTGTCCACGATGTTTCGAAGACAGGGGCGGGGAAAGCGCTCGGCACGCCGCCAGACGAGCCATAACTCCGGATTACATTGCGGAGGTACTGCTCGGCAGCATTGTCCCAGTGAGTGCTGTGAATCAGATATGCTGCCGTTGAGGCCGGCGAGCCCAGCATACCGCCGTATGATGTGCAATGATGTGCCAGCTGGTCGAAATCTACTTTCCCAATCAACCCTTCTAGAGAGTGAAGCAGCGTCGTCTGGTGCTTTCCAGTTACCATCTCAGGCACAAATCGGGCCATCTTGTGTGCATGTAGCTCCATTAGCATGGATTTGCCTGGAAAGTCGATGTCGATGCCTTGTTGTGCCAATTGGGATAGTAGGCTAGGCACAAGAATCTCGAATCCAACATGCACGGTGATGCTAACATCCCATTGCTTCAGTGCATTTGATAGGAAGGCAATTGCCCGGGAGATTCGCCCATCATACACGATAGCCTCTTCTTTCCAAGAACCGTAACGTTCATCTCCGATTGAAGCCTTGTGAGCTAGCAAAGATAGAAGACAAGCTAGTGTATTGAGGATCTCATCAACAGGAGACGAGCATGCGCCCCAGGACCCGTCCTCGCGTTGATGGTGCAGAACGAACGTGAATGATTCTGGAAATGTCCATTGATCTGAGCCAGTGGTATCTGGCTTCGTGACCATGGACAGCCACGCCGTGTCATAAAACGTAATGCTGAAATCCCCAAAACCGGATTCGTCTCCACAGCCCTTAGCAATCTTCTTTACCACCTCACAGGCTCTCTGAATGAGGTTGGGAGCTGCCAAATCTAACTTTCTCCGTTTTTCGGGACTCATAGTATCAAGGGTTTGGTCTGCTTTGTTGAATGTTAGGATAACGGGTCAGGCTCTGATGTTACTGAAATTTGGGCAGATTATCGAATAATATTTGTAGTTCCTCTGCCACCCATGGTGGCTTATTCAAGAAAGCCTCCTTAATAGTAGTCCCCACTATGTTCACTCCGGACGAAAGCCTCGCGACGGAGTTCGCCGTATCCAGGCAGTGTATTCCGCGTTACAAGCCCATACGAAGTATATCCAACATATTCATAACGTGTTAAACTGTTAGCGAGGCTCTATTCTACATTTAGATGAAAGGTCCGTGATTGCACTCAATAATTACCTGCTGTGTGCGTTAGTGGGGATAGCGACCAAAGTACCCGCCTATTCCCACCTATTGCACGGGTTATGCCGCCATGCTAAGTGCATATTACACTTCCTCGCCTAACTGAGTAGTGTCGCAAGCCACCTTCTAGCCACTAGAAACGTGATAAGGTCCACAAACTGCATACGTGGGAGGGGTGACATTGGTGGTATGCAAAGTAATCTACCGTCAATGCACTCCGGACTAGTGCTCACATTCCAATTGTCCAATGCACTCGGGACAGTGCTGCATCTAGCGGGGTTTGGCCTCGACCTTTCCCGCAACAGACCGACATGCATACACGGTCCCTGGTAGCATGGTCGGTTATGTTGTGCAAAGAAATGATAAGACCACCCGCATGGAATTCCCTCCTCCATCGGTGATCATCTACCTCCACGCAAAAGCCCACAAACATCGTCGACCATGGCCAATGCAACAAACCCGTTGTTGTTCTCTCATGGGTCCTATACATGGATCCAAGAAAGTTCAATTCCATGGTTTTACAGTGCCCCAGTCCTCCTTCTTGGTTGGTATCTGTTATCCTGCGCATGGAGCGGAATCTTCGGTTACCGAGTGCCAGTTTTTGGCATCAAAACGTCATGGGAGCCGACCATGGTATCGAACTTCCGGTTCTTCAGGCGGGCTGGAGACGTGTTGAGCGAGGGGTATCGCGCAGTATGATCCGTAGCCCAGTCGATAAATTCATGAGCTGACCTCTCCGTGGCGACAAGTGTAAGGACAAGATCTTCCAATTCCGACGAGCCGACACAGACATGCTTGTCTTGCCTCCAAAGTATGTCGACGATATCAGGAAGCTTCCAAGCCATGTCGCCAGTCCAACAGTGGCACACGTGCACAATCTTATGGGCTCTTCCACCAACATGCATATCATCCTTCAGAGCAATCTGCATTTCCGCACCCTCCAGCTGAAACTGACGCCGAACCTGAATTCCTTGACGGCACCCATGCAGGACGAGGTCAACTATGCAGTAGAGAAGGAACTAACCACGTCTGAAGGTCAGCCATCTTCTCCTTCCATGCGGTCCTCCTGGCGAATATTGACAAAATAACAGACGAATGGGTCACCATCAAACCCTATCACACGGTCCTTGATTTTGTGGCCCGCGTCAGTGCTCGCATTTTTCTTGGTCTGCCCCTGTGTCGGAACCCCAAATGGCTAGAAGTGTCTACCCAGTTTACCGAAAACGGTATTGCCTTCCGACCTCTCCTGAGCCCATTGGTTTCAATGCTAATTGCAGAGCAGTTTTTGTCTCCCTTGTCTTCCTGCGGCTGTTCCCTATCTGGACCCACAAGCTCCTCAGCTGGTTCATGCCCTCATCCTATCGAGGAAATGCATACGTCCGGAGAGCCAAGAAGCTCCTTGTCCCCGAGATCCTTCGGCGAAGGGAGCAGGAGCTTAATGAATCCCAGCCACCAGAAGAGAGCAAGAATAACCTTCTGTCCTGGATGATGGAGATTGCCACACCCGAAGAAAGCAAGCCTGCGTCTCTAGCGCACCTGGAGGTCGTCCTCTCACTCGCCTCCATCCACACCTCCCAGATGAACGCGGTCCACGTCCTCTACGATCTCCTCGCCCACCCAGAATACCTCGATCCCATCCGCCAGGAAATCAAAGACGTGGTCCTAGAAGAAGGTCCCTGGATGCAGTGGCAGAAGTCAGCATTCTCCAAGCTCCGCAAGCTCGACTCCTTCATGCGCGAGTCCCAACGCTTCAACCCACCAACCCTTCTATCCATGCACCGCGTTCTTCTCCAAGACGCCCAGCTCTCCGACGGAGTCCGCCTCCCAAAGGGCGCGCACATCAGCATGGCCGTCAACGATATCCAAAACGACCCGGCCGTGACCCCGGATCCCGAGAAATTTGACGGCTTCCGCTACTACCGGCTCCGCCAACGCGAAGGAGAGGGTCATCTTCATCAGTTCTCGACAACGCAGGAGCGGGTTCTGAATTTCGGACATGGTCAAAACGCGTGCCCGGGTCGCTTCTTCGCTAGCTTGGAAATCAAAATCATCCTGGTTCGTCTGCTCATGGACTACGAGTTTAAATTCAAGCATGGGAATAAACGCCCCGAGAACTTGCGCGCCCATGAGTTTATCTTCCCCAATCCTGATGCGGAGATCCTGATGCGGCGTCGGCCTGCGTCGGAGCGTTTGCAGCTTTGAAGAGGAGTTGAATGCAACAGGAAGTTGATATTGACTGGGGAAATAATTGAGAGAGCTCGCAGTGTGAATACGAAAACGTTCTTTTTTCTAGTCGCTCAATTCTGTAGTTATCCTGCAGTTGACAGTGTGAGCCGTCCAATTTCCGGCTACTCTCTCTTGCCCGCGATGAAGACCACTATACAGTATATGCCATGACAAAACTACCAATGAAATGCCACAATAGAAAGCAATAATGCTGACACATTTCTGCGCCATTATTTCGCCGGGGTTGATCTCCAATTCAATGTAACCATGCTATAACACCCGCCCCGCTGGAGGCAAAATGAAGTGTATGGCGATTTAAAGGCTTTGACTTAATTGGAGCAAGTATTTATCCCGTCCTCAAAGTCTTCACATTGATCAAATACAAACCATCGCTCAAAATATACGAGCTGCATGGATTTTGTGCATTATCTACATACAGTAAGGTGTTCGGCGATCCCGAAAGACCCTGGAAAACCTACTAGATAACAAACCAAAGTACACATATTGCTCCGTTGCATTGCACTAGTCTCCTGCAAGTTGCAATCAAAATATCGAAGGGGATACGCTAAGTGTATTAGTTACGGCCCCAACTCCAGTGTACGGAGTATGTACGTGCGTCTGTATTGTCCATCCCCTCCGTGATTTCGCCCCCAAAAAGCCTATTACCGAACTTGTAAGATGAAAGCATGATTACCGTACTTCTGCATACGGGCCAAGACGAGTGAGCCCTAAGTTCCTTGCTCATCAGACCACGTAGAATCGGCCTTGGCCAACTCGTGCGTGTCTAGGGCATTAATAAACATTGGTTGGTGTCGCGCTGCTCTAGGTCTGATTACCTTTCGTCTCAATCGTAGGGATCAACAAACACCCCTTGTTGAGCCCCGGACTTTTCTCAATGGCGCAGCTCTTGCGGGTGGTCGCGCTGGCGGCGATCGCCAGCGCGGCGGCTCTGTCGCGGGACTGGGAGAACGGTGTGTGCTTTGCTGGTGATCCATTGGCTCCTTCTCGACCTTCACTCTAACAGTTGATCATACGGGATAGGAGGTTTGTTTGGAGGTGATGCGTTGTCGTCCATGAACTTGCCCCTTTTCCTATCCGACGTTGTAGGTGCCTCCCACTCACCCAGCAAGTTATAGGCCATGTCTAATGGGGAATGAGTCTATTGTAGCTAGGAGAAGCGAGGGATCCATGGCATGGTGTCGACCCAGCAGGAGATCCTCCGAACACTGGTGTCACGCGTCGATACGAGTTCGACGTCTCGCGGGCGTTTGCATCTCCGGACGGGTTCAACAAAAGCGTGATCCTGATCAATGGGCAATTCCCCGGACCTATGATCGAAGCAAATTGGGGTGACATGATCGAGGTGACAGTTACAAATAGCATCGACAGTCCGGACGAGGGCATCACACTCCACTGGCATGGGCTCACGCAAAAGAAGACACCTTGGTACGATGGCGTCCCTGGGGTCTCGCAGTGTCCGATCGCCCCTCGTGGAGGAAAGTTTACCTATATCTTCCAAGCAGATCGCTATGGTTCCAGCTGGTACCATTCGCATTACAGTGCACAATATGATGATGGACTTTTTGGTCCACTCATTATCCACGGCCCTTTGCAGCCGGAGGTCAAGTATGACTTCGACCTGGGCCCCGTTATCATCTCGGATTATTACCACGTTGGCTACTATGAGATCATAGAACGGAGCATTCACAAGCCCCCGGGAATCATACCACTGGATAACAACCTCATCAACGGGAAGGGATCATATAATTGCAATCATACCAGCACGGACACAAAATGTCTGCCAGGCGCCGGATTTGAGAAGTTCAGATTTCGCTCCGGGAAACGGCATCGTCTGCGATTAATCAACAGCGGTGCTCTCGCCAACCAGAAGATCAGCATTGACAACCACGAGATGACGGTCATCGCCAACGATTTTGTCCCTGTGAAACCCTACAAGACCAAGGTGGTCACATTGAGCCCCGGTCAGCGAACGGACGTGATCGTGCACGCGACCGGCTGTGCTACAGATGCCGTCTGGTTACGGTCCGACATGGACATGGTCTGTCTCCAGAACACGGCGACTTTCCAGACCGCGCGTGCCGCCATATACTACGAGTTTGCGAACCCTGGGCGACTGCCTCAGACAAAGGGAACGAGCTGGGAGAGCAATGATTGTCGCAACGACGCGCTGGATCGCACCGTTCCTTACTACCCTCTCAAACCCCCAGTCCCCAGCACCACGCAGACGGTGACCATCACGGCGGGCCTGAACGAGACCGGCTTTATGGTAATGTTTATGGACGGATCTTCTTTCATGGCCAACTACAACCAGGCCGCTCTGCTCGCAGCCCAGGAAGGTAATGTCAGTTTTCCACGCCAGCGGAATATATACGACTTCGGGTCCAACTCCAGCGTCCGGCTGGTGTTTGAGAACGCCTTCGACACATTGCACCCCATGCATCTGCATGGGCATGACTTCTGGGTTCTGTCCGAGGGACCCGGCCGATGGAACGGGACCATCATCAACCCGGAGAATCCGTTGCGTCGAGACACCCACCTCATGATGCCGGGATCGCCGGAGAACCCGTCGCATCTAGTGTTGCAATGGAATCAGGATAATCCGGGGGTCTGGCCGCTGCACTGCCATATATCTATCCACTCGAGTGCGGGCATGGTGATTCTGGCATTGGTACGTGCTCTGATCTATAACGCCTTCTGTCATTCGATTTGTCCCTACTTACTCACTTATGTTTTCTAGGAACGACCCGACGACATCGCCAATCTTCCTATCCCTGGGGCCATTGCCAAGGATTGTGAGATATGGGATCATATTGACAAGTCGGACTATGCTGAGCAGATTGACTCGGGGGTATGAGGGCGTCACAGGGGTAGGGTTGTGTATTCGTACTGTCTTAATATACGTATCCGCTCGCTTACTGTGTAATATTGTTACAAAACGACCATTGACATACTATCTGCGTATCAGAAATACCTACAAGGTACCGTACGATACTCGCTGCAGTTGGGTACATACAAGTAACGTACTAGCCAGGAGACCACGTAACTACGAGGCTACGAGACTAGAATAGAAGCCTTTCGGCCCAAGAGGATCTTCGATCTGACACGTAAATCCCCCCCAGTTGTGTCAATCCTGACTCTCTGTCTCTCCAGTCTTTACACGTCTCTCTCCCTCCCGCCTCGTGTCTAATCATGGGGGTCGTCAGTCTCCTGTTGTTGTCCGCTCTACTCTCGAGTCTGGTCAGTGCCCATTCCTCCACCCGCGTAGACAAAAATGCCAGTGCTTACTCTTCCAGGCCTCGATCGGCTATGTGATCCGAAATCTATGGTTTCACCCGCTAGCCCAATATCCAGGACCGCTTCTATGGCGGGCCTTCCGTCTCCCCTTCCTGCTGGCGATGATGCAGGGGGAACTGCCGCATCGGATTCGGCGCTTGCACGAGCAATACGGGGATGTGGTCCGCGTGGCGCCCGATGAACTGTCCTTCATCGATGCCGCAGCCTGGCGCGACATCTACACCCGAGGCCGGGACTTCGTGCGCCCTGATGAGTACAAAGACCAGCCGCCGGGCAAGACGGCAGCGAACTTGATCGCCTGTTCAGAGACCAAACACGCGCAGTTCCGCCGGATCCTGGCGCCCGGGTTCTCGGAGCGATATGCCGCAGAGCAGGAGCCGTTCGTCCAGTCGTACATCGATCGGTTGTTCGCCAAGCTGGACGAGCGCTTCGATGTCGATGTCGTGGAGTGGATTAACTACCTCGCCTTTGATATCATCGGTGACCTCACCTGGGGCTCCTCGTTTGGATGTCTGGACGGACTCACGTACCACCCGTGGATTCAGACAGTTAGTCAGTTTAAGGCGGCGATTATTGTCGGCGGGCTGAAATTCTACCCAGCGGTGTATTCGTTCCTCATGGCCATTACTCCTGCCTCGGCGTTGAACGAGGTCATGGAGATGTGGAAAGTCACGGAGCAACAAGTTCGCAAGCGCGTCGCGAGCGGAGTGACGCGACCTGATCTGGTCGGTACGATGCTTCAGAGTAGTAAAGCGACCGGGGGCGAGACTATGAGCCCGGAAGAGATGGAGGTCAATGCAATGATGATCGTGGCGGCAGGTAGCGAGTCTATCACCACTGTTATAACTGGCGTAATCAACCATCTGCTCCGGGACTCAAAGACCCATCAGACTCTCGTGAACATCCTTCGGAGTACGTTTATCTCTGAGAAGGAAATCACTGCCTCAGCGCTGAAGAATATCCCTTATCTCAATGGGGTCCTCAACGAGGGAATGAGGCTCTGCCCGACCATCCCGGACTCCATGCGCCGAAGAGTCCCCGCCGCCGGAGCCAGCATAGCAGGCCGGTTCGTTTCCGGAGGCATGGTTGTGTCTGTTCCACCCTGGGCGACGTACCGCTCATCTCGCAATTTCACTCGCCCTAATGAGTTTGCCCCGGAACGGTGGCTGGATGGCGCCACTCGGAGTGACGAGTTCGAGGGTGACGTGAAAGCGGCCTTCAATCCTTTCTCGCTGGGTCCGCATAACTGTCCTGGACAGAACCTGGCATGGTTGGAGCTACGCTTGATTCTTGCACGGTTGCTCTGGAGGTATGATCTGTCCACGCCACCGGCGACGGAACTTCCTGAGTGGGAGTCCCAGGGAATCTGGTGGTTCTGGGATAAGAAGCCGGCCATGGTGCGCTTCCAGCGGGTCAATTAGTATTCCTTATTCTCATGGTCGTGAAGAAAAGGCTTATAGCTTAGTGGCTGCTGGATCTATTCCTTATGGTCATCGAGAATTGAGAGCACGTGCTCTTCCCTTGCCCTAGGCTCCTGCCCATTTCAACTACCTTGAAAGATGCTCCGATACAACGTCTTGTTTACCTACAATTCATTGGAATCAAACAGTACAAGCTCTAATTCAAATGTGTGATCGAGAAGGATGCGATACAAGGAGTTCAAATCCCAAACCCAGGCAGGTAGCAATTTTATTAATTAATTTCGTACCATACAGACTCCACATTGTCTAGAGAAGAGGATAACAAAACTTCGAGTATCAAACATCAGCCAAAACTAGTATCTTCGACTCGTTTCATCAGGTAGCCTACATACCATAGCTGATCCATGTCAAGCAGCAGAGCTACCGCCGGTCAGGGCCGTCCTGGCAGATTTACGAACGTTCGGACCTTTTGACAGATGTAGATCAATACCTTATTCATCTGACCACGGTGCTTGCTATATCATTACCCGCCTGTCCGCACAATCTTTTACAGAACTGGTTGAAATGATTTTTGTTCTTGAAGTTGACATTTCACTGAGGCGTAACGGACCCGGTCGGCGATGAGAGCTCCAAATCCCATGAACCGAGAACTTTTTGTTAGCATTCCAGGATCCACTAGTCATTCAAAAGGGTCCACCAACATACTTTACCCATTTGAGAATGGTGACTATCAACCCCCCTTTACCTTATAGAGCAGGCGGTCCAAATCTCACATTGCTCGCGTAGAATTCTAGCTATCCCAGCCTACAATCCAGCACGACTATACTAAATTAGAGAGAAAAGGCGATGAGGCTCTGTTTTATACTTAGAAACCAAAGAAAGTTACTCCGGTTTAAAAGAATAAAATAGAATCGTGAAATTATCGATAGTTTTGTTCAAGTTGGAACACCTCGAAAAGATATATATCTTGAAGATATCCTGCGAAATGCTAGACTGGACTTTGGCTTTCGTTGTGTGGATGTTAAGCAGGGACCGAATACACTGCGGTAGTGATATAAATAATAAAACGAGCGAACGAATAGTTTGATTATCACTGAATTGATTGATTGATGGTTGATGTAGGGAAAATCGGTCTTCCGGGGTGTTGCGGAAAAGATGCCTTAAGCCAACGGTGAATTGCTTGGCAGCTAGCCTTAGGCATCCAACACCAACACGTTGCTGCTACTATACGTTCCTACGGAGTCACTGATAGTATCATATGTGAGAGGAGATCTTACAAGTTCATATGTGGATGTATATTTCTATAGTGAGGAGCGTGCACGCTTAAATTTATACTCATGGCGCCGGTCCAGAAGACAAACAAATAAGCATACAAATCATCATTGCATCCGACATTTCCTCCGGTGCTGGATTTGAACCCCCAGTAGCCCGATCGTAGAATGTCTGGCGGGTCAACGTGTTAGGTTCGCCATCACCTCCGTATAGAAGAAGAGCTGGACGTTCTGCGGAGAAGACCAAATCGTCTGCGGCACCCGTAACAAAGCGAAGCTGCTTACGTTCCTCGGAATTCTTTTGAGCCTGGTTGATCTCGATGGAGATTTGAATCAGAGATTCATTCTCCTTTTGGACGGCTGATGCCACGTCCGTCTGAGTAGGATCAAAGACTAGAGCCAACGCCTTGGATTCCTCTAGAATAGCGACTACTTGGTCTGCTTCCGGTGCGTGTCCTTTCGTGAAGGTTAGTATAGAACACCAAGGAGTAGAAAAGAAACTCACCCATTGGGACAATAACACCGCCCATTGAGAGAATCGCCAAGCTCGCCACAAAAAACGGGTACTGGATTTCGGCTAGTACACCGACGTAGCCAACACCGTCTTTGAACGCGCCATTTGCATCAAGTTGGCTGGAGGGAATAGCACTTTGAATTTTCAGGCGCAGCACCTGCACATCGTGCAGGAACTGGGAGTAGGTGAGTTGTACCCCATGTGTACTGTCGTTGATGATGATTCCATCTTTGTTTTGGTGGGCGGCGTTGATCAGGCGTGTGAAGAAGGGGTCAGAGGGGAATGTCACTTCTTGGAAAGGACCCGTCTCCTCTTGAATGGTTGTAGGAGTTTGTTCCTGTGTATGTTCATGTTCGTGGTCATGTTGATGCTCATGATGCTGCTTATTGTCATGGGGACAGGCGCACTCGTCATCAGAATGAAAATCTAAATCCGAGTCGCAGTCATAGCCGTCGACTGCAAGACCTGGAACACATTCTTGACACATCTCTTCGGTTTTGACTCTTGTTTATTGTTGATAAAGATATCTACGGCTTGGTGGGGTTCTCGTCCAGCCTTTCGAAGGATAAAAAGTTCTTCAATTTTCTTGGCGGTGGCATCATCCAGGGCCGTTTTGATTGGCCTGAATAATCAGGAAACCCACCCTGTCCGATGACAGCTACATGCGGTGTATTTAGGCTGCGGCAGGTCGTACGACATCAACATTTTTTCATTATCGTAGTCGGCAACCGATACGATATTGATTTTTTCCAATATCGTTGTCGTATATACGATATCTAACAGACATCAGACGATATCGATGGATATCGTACAAATATCCGCACTAGTATAAAACTCGCTAATTTATCCTATCTTGAACAATCGGGTGATAGTTATGAAGCTGACCAATTATTATTTTACAACTGAAAGTTTACATGTTTGATTATGACGGTACTCATTTGTTATTTCTTTCACTTGTCATTGGAAATAATAAGATATAATATTGTATTCATAAGCTAATATTGTTAATGTAACAGTATATATTTTACTTAGATAGCAAGCGTGTTATTGTTGCTTGTAATTTTACAATTATTAGTTGATAAGTGATTGTTAGATAGAAATATATATTTAATACACAGACAATGTAGTACGCTTTCCTACGAAGCTTTAATATAGTATTCGAATTTATAAATATTATAGTTTTGATATTCAAAATAATATCTACGGATTTGCGAGGGCTTTGCCTCATTGTAGAGTTACTTTATTTAGTATATTTATATATAAAAGTAAAGCGCAATTTATGTTCGAAGTTTCCAGCTTGCGGACTTAAACATTTTTTTTAGTTCAAGCGATCGCGAAATAATCGTCCGATATTTAACATAGATTGGACAATATTGTCTAATGTCGTCCGATATCGGTTAGATATTAAATAGATCAATTAACAAATATCCATTTTTACTCATTTATACCCAATTAATATTGAATATTATTTTTAACACGTTGAAATCACGCCAACATTTGCCCATAATCTTGTTTCTATTTTATAACTGAATTCCCTGTAAGGCTCTTATTCATGAATCTAATTATTCTATTATCTTTATCTAATCTTATATCTATCATGTCTTATTCTCAAGCATCTTTAAATCAATATACAGTATCTCAATACGCTAATTCATTCGTTGATCCAGATATTTTACAATCAAATGATTTTTTAGATGCGACAAATAGTTAGATTACAGTACAATCAACTTCTTTTTCTAGATTTCTTTCTCCGCCTCGATATCCTCACGCATCCAATTCATTTATATGCGTTGTTTGCAAATCCCGCCAGCAAATCTATATACTTTATAACAACGATAAAAGTGATCGAACAATGAACAAATCACGAAAGCATTTTGTCGAATAATGATTAATGACCGAGTTCGGCATTAAAAAAGAACTTCAAAAATCTGTTTATTGGAATAGTAATCTCAAAAAATCTGATGTTTAAGAGTCATTTGATTAAGTTGCAAATATCAAGACTGGCAAATCTAAGATTATGTGTAAACGCTGTCAGAACGTAATCATTCATCCAGAGATTAATTGTACTAATCTATTGTTAATAAAGATTCATTTTATTAATATAGTCTATGTTAAGTCACAGAAGATTACAAAGCAGAGCATTAATTATTTATTACGGAAAATGATAAATTTATTTCTAAATTTAATCTATATTATATACTAATATTTTCTATTTTTATTCAATCATGTCAATTAACAAGCACGGAATTCAGTCAAATCATTTTTCAGAAAAAGATCTTCAAATTTATCACAATTATTTGTCTTCCATTCCGCACTGTTGAGTATCTAAAGTTTAAAGAATTATTGCAATATACTAGGCTTGTTAACTCAGAGCTTAATATCTCATTCGCCCACAGTATAAGACAGTTTTTAGATAATGAAGTCCAAAAACAGTAGCAGAATGTTCTTAATAAGCTTCCGTTTAAAAGCTATTTCTTTATTGCACTAGATTGTTGGATCTCTCCTTTTGATTAAGCATTTATGGCAATCATTGGATATTTTCTTGATCAGAACTGGAATTACTGTGAGGTTCTTCTTGGATTTGAATATATACAAAGATCATATACTGAGATTCAGTTAAATGAAATTGTTATCCAAATCTTTCAGAAACATAATATTATCGATCGAATATTGTCAATCATAATTGATAATGCATCAAACAACAACATAATGATTGAAGACATTTAAAAAATAGTTCAGTTTCAGATTCTCTACAATACATCTATCTTCCGAATATTATGCATTGTGCACATCATGCAGCTTAATTTAAAGAATCTTCTTGAAAAGATTAAAGCGAATCTAAAGAATGCGGAGGCTGAATCAGAGTGATCAAATAAATGTACGAAGTCGTTACAGGCTGCTCTATGTCATTCTTCAAGAAATATCGTGACTACATTAAAGAAGATAAATGTATTATATTATATCAGAAGATTATAATTACTAAAATATTCTAGATTTGAGAACTTGTTGTATTCATTAACGCTAGTTCTCAACACCGAAAAGCTTTCTGGACACTCCAAACAACAGAATCAAAGCTTCTATCTATCTAAAATATTCACACACGCTGGAATTTTACTTTTCTAATGCTAGAACATGTCAAGAGGTTACAACGAGTTTTCAATCAATACTGTTCAACCTATCAATATGTTCAATTTCAGCTCGATCCAGAGAAATGGCGCTAAATAAAATATCTTCTTTTGATCATAAAATCTTTTTTTCATTACACCAAGATCTTATCAAAGACTTAAAATATTACTATTCATTCTGTTTTTAGTATCTATAATGAGCTCTTTGGTCATCTTGATGATGTTGAAAAATTATTAGAATGCAAGACTGTCTCTTGAAAAAAGAGAATGCTTCAAGCATTACAAACAGCGAAACAGAAACTCTCAAAGTATTATAAAACAATTGATATCAAATCATTTGATACAGTCTATGCAATTGCAACTATTCTGTGTTTTTTAAAAAAATTTCGATTCTTTGAAGGCAATGATTGGAAAAAAAAAACGAAAAAAGAGAAAATATTCATTGAATGCCAATCTATCGAGATAAACTACAAAAAAAATTCGATCAATATTAACAACGTATTATTTCCCGAAATGAGCTCTCTCAAGCACAAATTATTCAAGGATTTGACGAAAAGGAGCTTAATCTTATGATAAACTCGCATGTTATTTTACAAGGTGAAATTGACCGGCCGGAGAATGAAATTACACAATATCTTGCAAAGGATTTGTATACTTCTTTGCTTTATTATAAAGCTTTTTAGCTAAGTTGTTTAATAGATCTTACTAAAGGCAAGCCAAAGGTATTCTGGAAGAAGCATGAGCATGAATATCCAGTGCTTGCAGCAATAACACGGGATATTCTAGCAATACTTGTTAGTGATGTTAATGTTGAGCGACTCTTCAATTGTGCTCGTGATGTCTGTCACTATCGTTGGGGGCAGTTAAAACCTGAAATAATCCGATCTCTAATGCTTCATTTGTTTGTATCAAAGTTCGATCTTCAACAAACCGAATTTGAAATGATCAAAAAGTATCTCTCTAGTGGTGAGATTGCTATACTCAATCAGACATGAAAATCAACTCCATCACTTAATGATATCGAGCCGATCAATGATAATGAAGAAAAGAGCTATTAAATTGAAGATATATCGGACAATTTATATAACAATTTAAATAATGATTATACAGTTGAGTAGGCAAGCCTTATACTTGTTACAATCTAGGACAAGCAATCATGGCGCAAGCGGTCTCATAGTGCCGTTGAGGCTCAGAAAAATAGTGATAATGATTTTATACTTTCTAAGATGCCAACTGAAGAATACACGCAGAAATGACCGAGAGAGATTTGAAAAAAATCAAAGCAATCAGACGGATTTGAATTTGATAATCTGTAATATAATTTTGAATAATTGAATATTTGTTATTGCAATAAAGGATAACAAAATATATTAATTAGCAAAAAAGATTGTAGGACACAAATTCACGTCAGTAAATATGGGATCAATTACATATTGAATACTCTAAAAATACTGTGGAAAATGCATAATCTATGTCAACTCGTTCGGGTTAGAAGTCTTGGACTGTTTGTAATATTTATTATCGAATGAATATCCGACGATTATCCAACAGCTTAAGTTGAATATTATAATTGTATCGGACGGAAAATCTAAATATTGTAGTCATATCGATGTCGGCTGCGATACGATACGATATGATATTATCGTACGATCCGTCCGATGCTGCCGCAGCCTAGGTGTATTAGTGTGTTTCATGGATATCGGAGTCTACCTGAGCTCCTCCTGGAGGTTATTCCTATGGTAACCTCATGTATGCATAGAGTTTGCCCAATCCGAAGGAAGGGGGAAGGGGGTGGGGGCGAACATTGGCGAAAGAGCAAGGCCTATTGAGTGATGAGTTGGTGTTGCAATAACCGCCCTTGGGGTTACCAGATACGGGCTGAGATAAGAAGAAAGGTCCAGAGGAGAAATTCCTCCAAGAGATGATAGATTGCGAGCGCGACGCCGAGGAGAGATACGAAACGGATACTCCGCGCAAGCTGCTATCTATGCCATGAGCCTCAGCGGCGTTGCGATTACAGCGGTGCTCATCCTTGGCTCGCGTCGCTTCAAGTCGTCCATGTCGCTGGCTCTTTACTGCGGTGCTGCTATTAGAGCGGCGTGCCATCCCTGCACTGACAATGAGCATGCCTTGCTGCCTGTTTATCGTCCATCCACTCGGATCAGGAAAGGTCTCGCTATGGTTCTGCAAGGGAACGCAGCAACAGTGTGAGTGATTATAGATCTTCAAATGATGGGAAAGAAGGCAGATTACAGGCATTTATATGAAATAAACCAGACTCGGCTATCCAGCTCTGTCAGAATCACGATTCACGTGGTATTAGCCTCTCAAATCAGTTATACAAAAAGCGAGCCGAGTACTATAGCTGCAGTACACTCCGCCGTGGTCATCACCCTCCAACTCATCTTGAAGACAATTACTTGTAAATATCGAGTAAGGAAGTGATCTCTGCCACCCATTACTGCACAAGCAGTACCTCTAAGGCTTCTCCGAGCAGTAACTTCCATCTACTCATCATCGCGGATATCGACAACCGTCTGCTTCCATTTGCGAGCCGGGACACGACGCCGGAAGAGAATGTCGATCTCACGGAAGGATCTGTTCTTCATCTCCGGAACCCAGAGCCAAGCCATGGAGGTGCAGATAAAGGCGGTACCAGCCCAGATGTAGCCGCTCTTGCCGCCCAGGTTCCACTTATCGGTGTTGAGCATGTAGCTGGAAAGGAAGATGCAAGGAATATTGACCACGTAGTAGGCACCTCGTCCAATACCAGTTGTCAGTGGCCTGAGACGAACGGAAGATGTCTCGCCGATGATGACCCATGAGGCAGGGGCGGGTCCCAAGCAGAACAGAACGGAGACGATCAAGCCAAGTGATGCTTGCGCATTGCTAGCCGCCTTACTAGCTCCAACTGAAGCCGCAATACCGAGCAGGATCAAGAATGCACAGTTGATGAATTGACCATAGACATAGATGGTGCGTCGGCCGAGATATGTGGTGAGGATCCAAGAGAGCATGACCATTACCGCCTGGAGGGCAGAGGTGATGAGGCCAAGTGCAAATGCGGTGTTGTCTGCCATACCGGCCTCTGAGCTGGTGTTAGTGGGCTATGAGGTTGTAGGAAATGGCCGAGCTCACGTTTGAAAAAGTAAACCGCTTGGTTAGCAATCAGATTGCCCGTCAGATTCTGAGATGCGTATACACCGCACACAATCAATGTGCGGTAGAGATCGGTGCCTCTCCACAATTCAACGAGACTGGGCTTCTTCTCAGTCTTCTCGAGTTCGATCGTGCGACGCATCATTGCGACTGCGTCGGCGGGATTATCAGTTGCACTCGCGCGTCCAAGGCGCTTGACGGCCTTCTCTGCCTCAGCCAGACGGCCCTGCCGTACGAGCCACCAGGGCGATTCAGGCGCAATGAAGAGTAGGATAGCTAGGGGAGTAGGAAACATCCACTGCAGTGCAATAGGAACTCTGTAGTGACTGTTAGTACAATACCCGTCGATGGCATCTCTGGGAGCGGACGAACCTGTAGGATGACGAGTCAGGCTTGGATTGGTAGTGGTAAGTGATACCGCCGACTATGATCGCACCAATCGCCCAGAACATCTGTAACATCTGTGTCGCTGGAGCTCTCAATCGCATTGGCACAATTTCGGCACAGTAGGCGGGTGCATTGGCGATAAAAATGCCCCACGGGATGCCTTCCAGGATCTGGGACGCCAAAAACATTCCTTGGCTGTTGCCGAAATAGAAGATCAAGATGAAGGCGTTCAAGAACATGAGACCGCCAATGGTCGCCCATCGATATCCAATCCAACTGGTAATGGGACCAGCGATAAATACACCGATGAAGGCACCGACTGGCCCGCTACACTGGAATGCTGACTGCCATGGAGCTTCGATAATCCACTCCTGTGTTTTTTCGGTGTATACACCAAAGTCACGGGCAAATTGAGCTGTGGCTATGAACTGTCCCATCAAGAAAACACAATATGATTCCATGATCTGTCGCAACGTTAGAGAAATGATCTGTCTAAGATGGGCGAGATCTAACAATAGTGCATGACATCACGAATGCCCACCAGCTGGCAGCGGGATAGGCCTTGACAGCCTGGAGCACAGTCATATTATGTTCGACCTCCTCGGCCTCGATGGCGCCCGCCCTGTCGTAGTCGACCTTCTCGCCGACATCGTAACCAGGTCCACCCATGGAGGTGGGCTGCGCCTCGACCTCCGCCGCTGAGGTCTGCTTCTCTGTGCTGTCGTTATTCATGTTGACGATTTCTGAGAGAAACGGGTAAATCAAAGAGAGGCAGGCACGACTGGGGGTTTCAGACCTTTATACCGGCGATAATACCCTCGTCGTGGCAATCTTGATCTTAGCCCAATTACTCCAAGCTTGCTCCGGACCTTGACCTCCTTAACCCAACACCTCCATTCATGAGGGTCATTTTTCCGGCCATTACGGCGGCAGCAACGCCACTTGATTATGGTTGGCTCTTTTCGAGCGAAGTAAGCTGATATGTATTAGTCGGGAAGAATTGTACCGGGTTGTTTGCGGGGTCTGCTGACATGGTAATTTGGTGGTAGGTTGTGGTGGTATCCGGTCTATATGTGGCGTCTTATTCTCCCGGAGAATTTCCTGCTTTGGATAGACTCCAAAATCCTCCCTCCTTCCGTTGGTCCAAGTCATGTCTGTGCGCCATTGGAAGGTTTTTCTTGTTGTACATTCTGAAACCCAACCCTCCTGCTGGCCTGTCAGGGTGGTTCAATTCTATTGAGCCTATAATAATGAACAAGCAATTTCACCGGAGGGGCTGGGAGAGGATAAGCGCTAATTATGAGGCCACATGGTTAGCACGGCTCGGCCACTTTTACCCCGGATACCCCGGACGGTTCCTAAATCTCCTCCATTGGGGAAAGGAGAAATACCGAAATTGGTTAGTACAAAGTCGTACGGATCATGAAATTGAATGAAAAGGAGCATTTCATTTCCCCTGACACCTGACCCCTTGTCGAAGTTAGGACCTTGGATTGAGGTACAAATGTGGCAATTAGTATCTAACTATGCGAGTAGGCGTAGCTATATCTAGTCACAGTAGCAGCCTAATTAGATCGGCCCATATACTCATCTTCCCAAAGGTCCATCAAGGTTTGAGCTATGTAAGTTTTCATAAAATGTCTCAAATTATCTCCGATCCATCAATCACTAATACTTGATCAACGCCCAGGTAAAGCGGGTTGAATGTCTCTTCTTTTGACACTTAGCTTCGCCGAACCGGTTGTGCTCTAAATTAGTAGTTTTCGAGTTGGCCTACGTAGCCTGTCTGACATAGAGGCCACGTGATCGCTTACTTCAAAATTAAGCTATTTTAACTTGAGAGTCATGAATATCCACTGCGCCTTACTGATCACGACAATAAAGGTTTAATAGCCGTAGGGCATGGCGTGGAGGGGGAAGAAGCGTCTTATAAATCTGCGATCTGGTTAACTTGCTGCAAAGGGGAACCATTCTTGGCATCGTTGGCTGGAAAGCTGGCCGTTTCTGGCGCCAGGGGCTGTCATTTTCTGGAGCGATTCCAGAGGTCCTTATATTTTATGTGTAGTTCCCAGAAGAACGGCGGACGAGGAGTTTGCCAATGATTCTGCATCCAGTGGACGATCTACCACCTTAGGCTTCATGTTGTTTTATCTAAAATGCATGTAGCCCCAAAATAATTCTGCATTCTTTGAAAACACGTTCATACATAAAGACAAGTGACTGTATCTGAATTGAAATGTCAGATCGTGGTTGAATATAAGCTAACGCCACCCTACCCATCGAACGGCGCAGTTTTCCGACTCGCTGAAGGAATATAATCTCCACTACCGCTGAATTACCGCAACCCAAAGATCAGACGTCAACTACACCTTCAGACCCTCACAACAGGCATCTGAACATGGCATCGATCCAGCATCGACTTCTCGATCACATCCACCAGACTATCCCCTTTCTTGTTGACCGCCGCCGTCCACTGAACTGTGAACGACTCCCCCGGTTGCAAGACCAACGGCGGCAGACTACTAGTACCATGACTACCGGTCTTCGCCTGATCATCTCCCGGCTGGCATCCCGCGATCTCCACCTCGTATTCGTGATACTCGTTCTTGGCTCCGTTACCCAGCGTACTGGTGGTCATTGCCGCCCCGGCCGTGGCAGCTGGGGCCACGTAGACGTGCTCCGGCTCGTCGCGGGCTGGATCATCCGCGGCGACGAGATCGAAATGGTCAGCGTCAAAGAGGTTTTCGGCGGTGGTGCCACCGGTCAGGGAGACGCGGACGTTGGGCACTGTGACGGGCTGGTCGGTCGTGTTGGTGCCCGTGACGGCGAGGGGGTCGACCGCGTGCGCGTGGACGGTATCGGTGGATAGGGTGTACTGGAGCTGGGGGTCCGGGGGCGCGTCCAGGGCGTCAAGGAGCGGCTTGCCTTGCTTCTTCAGGAACGTGTCGACGGGGTCCTCCGGCGGCGGGGAGAAGAGACTGATGAAGAAATTCACCAGCATAAGGACGAGCCCGATGATGGCTAGGACGGCCCCGAGCACCGGTAGGGCCGTGGCGAAGATCCCCGTCGCCGTCACGAAGTCCGGGCCCGTGAATAGCTCGACGATGTCCAGGACCACCTGCAGCGTCTGCGTGAGGTCGGACGGGATGTCCAGGATCTTCTCACCGGTGGACAGTTTGTTCCAATCCTCGACTAGACTGTTTGTTGATTGTTGAGAACAAGTCAGCCTAGCATTCCAACGCACTTGGAACTCTAATAGCGCGCTCGGCAACAATATGCGCTGAGCCGAATAGCACAAAGTCTAAAGCCCAAACGTACCTGTATATCGCCGCCCCTACAAGCACAATCCCCAGGCAAACATTGAACAGTTTCAATGCCCTCCCCCCGATACTCCATTTCGACGCTACATCCTCACCTTCAGGAGGTACCCCTGCCGGCGGCCGGTCGGGGGGCTCGTTCCAATGCTCTGCATCGTCCGGGGTGGTGGCTTGACCCTCGGGCGTGAGATGATCACCCACGACCTCATGGAGACTGACATCCGGGTTCACGGCCTCGCACACCTCGGCGATGCCCTCGCCGTCCTCTGACAGGGCGGTGTACGTGCCGCGATCCAACTCCGATGTCTGCACATAATCCTCGAAATTCTCTGCCTTGGCCCGTGTGCGGTACGCGTCCCACGATTCTTTGGCACTGCTGATCCCCTCCACAGTCGTTCCGATCACCTCCAAAATAGCCGCGGCCTTCTGGGTATCGGACATATTATCCCAATCATGGATGATGCCGTAGACGCTGCCGAAAATCTGCATCATGTACACGCCCACCTAAATGGGAATATGTCAGGGGAAAGAACATAAATTCAACATTCTGCATAGAAACGCACCATTGCAATCGATACTGCACCCTTCATCTTGGATAATCCCGGGATCTTATCCCCCCAAGCATCGGACAGATTCGCAAAAGCTTCTTCCGTCCACTTGTACAAACTGGTCCCGGCAAACGCGGCCGCGAGACCCTTGTCGATGGCCGACATCCACCCCCCCAGGCTGGTCGTGAACTCGCCCAGCGTTCGCACAATCTCCGTCGCCCGGTCCTCTGCCGTCCTCCCCGAAGAATTGAGGCCGTTTGCCTCCTCGAACGCGACAATATTCTCCCGCAGCCCGGCCCGCACATCCGGATCCAGTGTCCCATCGTCGCCATCACCGTCGAGGACCTGCACGATAAGACGGTGCAGGATATCCGCTAGCCACTCCGCCGCCTGATCCGAGTCCTGGGAATCACTGGCAAGGGACGGGTACTGGAGCTGACGGGCGCCGACGAAGGCCATCGTGGCCTGGAACCAGTCGTCGGCGTAGTTGTGCGAGCGGTCCAAGGCGTCCAGCATCGTGCAGACGCGGTTCATCACGTTTACGCCGGACGATTGCTTCGTGCCCGCGGCTCCCTGCATCGGGTATTTCATATACATGTACATGCGTCGTTCCTGGGTGATCTCGTCGTAGAGGCGCCGCGCCCACGTCTGCGGGTCGTCGTCCAGAAACCGTTGGAGATCGTCCCCCATGTACTCGATCAGGGCTTCCGTGGACGCAATGCGGGTAATTTCCGCGTACTCCTTTGATCTTGAAAGGCATTGCTTACCCTGTGGCCGCGAATTTTGCGTATTTTAGTAAGAGGTCAAAAGGACAGAGTTGGAAACATGATGCCTCAAAACAAAGAGGGGAGAAAGAAGAAGACTAGCGGCTTTGGCCCAGTAAAGAAAGGAGTAGAAAACGTACATTGCCATTCCACCAATACCACAGATTCCTTTTCTCCTGGTCCGTGAGCTTTTTACCGTACGTTTTGTCGCGCTTGACCACCTGGCACAAGAATGCGGACGCGTATTTCTCCCGCAGAAAGCTGCTCAGTTCATCGGGCAGGCTGTCCGCTAAGCTGGTGGCCAAATTGGTAGGCCGGGTCTGACCGGTCAGCTCGAGCTGTTTGTTACTCATGTGATAATACATGGCAGCTGTGACGTTCGCTTGAGATAGGTTGTGAATCTGTTAGGTGGGTTGCTGGTTAGCCATAGGAGAGTCCTTGTCTCCTTCCTTTATGAGGTCTCATGTCTTCAATCAGAAAAAGGAGATAAAGCGTACCACTGCCTCGCTATAGCCAAGGGGTTCAAGGAGCTGATTAATGTTGTTCTCCACTCGCTGGCCGAATCTCTCGGTGACCTTGGCCGGCTTCTGTCGCGCGGTGCTGGCCGCGGTGGGCAACGAACCTGGATTTACACTATCGATGCTAGGGCAACAAGCCTTTGACACCCTTGATCGTAAGGGACAAAAGTTCTTTCTGGCAGAAGTGACGGTTCCGCATATGAAATGTCTACAAATGAGGAAATCGTCCATTAGCATACATCCCTCTTTACTACCAATATGGGAGGAGGGTAAAACCTGTCGCCCTTCATCTCCCGGACAGTCGGGTTGTACTCGTAGAGCGCGCCGGTAGCGCTCGTCTCCTCCGCATTTACATCGATATAGAAAGAGGAGCAGAGAATCGAGAGCGTGATATCACTGTTTAGCGCCTCCTGGAAACCCACCCCGAACACCGTGGTAATGGTTGGACCAATATCAGAGATGAACGGCACCAGCGACGCAAGGTTAAACTGGACGGCCACTCGGATCCCGCCGTCCGCAAGGAATTCGTGGTGGCAATCATACAACCTTCCCAAATCGTAGCCGAGCTGATCCTTGATCAGCTTCTGGAGTTCATCCAGCTTGGGGATCTTGCTGGACGGCATGTCCGCACCGCCCGCCGAGGTATGTATGCCCACTCTCACATCGAGGCCGGCGATGGGGTCGTCCGGCTGCGTCTTGTTGTCGTCTTCTACCACCCACGGGCTCCGGTCATAGGTCATGGTCACATAATGCGTACAAAAAAACGTCGCCTCCCCCTTCGGCTCGGGCACCTTCTCGACATCTGCGCCTCGCATGAGAGCTCGGAACTGGCATACATGTCGAGGCTGGTGCGCTTGATCGTGATTGGGCTAAGGGGAATCGGCCAACAGAATTACGCCGTGGCCACTGACCCCCGCTAAATCCACGTTCAGCATGCCATGCTCAAATACTTGGGGGGAGATAGCTCGTGACCACCGATAGCAGCGTTGGCGGTTGTCGAAGCTGCTTCTTAGCTGCGGTTCCTCGTTGACCAAGATGTGGCCATCCACAACCTGGACCTCAGGCAGTTGATAAGATCGGGGGATCTGCTGCACATCTGTGGTGGTCAATGTAAATTCTCGCTCCAGGAAGTTTAGAGGTACGCCAGAAGGCATAGGGCGGGGAGCATTCCGTAGTCGATCGAGTATCTCATCGAATGAGTTAACTTTGGCTGGGAAGACTGCCGAACGCGAGACGGCCTTTTCTGCTCTGGGTGTGTGACGGTGTTTACCGAAGAGCTCCAGATTCAGTCGTTCATGGATGGTTTGCAGATCGTGTTTGCCGAACATGGGATTGAGCTCATTCAACGACGCAAGCAGGGTTAGCCGTTTCTCTGCAGGGAGAGCACGCAGCTCGTCGGTTATGGACCGGAACTCTTTCTATATATGGCTCACATCGGTTAGAATCACTGGAGCCGGCAATTTTGAGCATCGCTCCTATTAGTCCGAACAACTTGCCTCAGGATTATTGTCCGTTACAAGGTAACCGTTGACATGGAATGACCGCTGCTTCTGCGGCAACGACAGGGCGTATATTCTATCTGGCGTTGCCGTTTCCACTTGGGTAGATCTCACCTCGACGGCTTCATAACCGTCGCCCTCTCGACGATACAGGAAGTGTCCCACTTTGAGCGGGTCGATGTGAGCATAGGGATTGCAGGACCGGGCCGCTTTATAGTCCACAGCACGTAGGCCAGTCGGTGTGTGAAATACCTGGGCAGGGGTACTGAACCGACTATCGCCATCTTGAAAGCCTCATTAGAATCCGTATGGTATTTTCACCAGACTAGATGGGCGTTGGGGGTTGGAAGGGAGGCGGAGAAGAGCTCACTGATTTTGAGTATAGGCATCTGAGGCATCTGCATCCCCCGTCTATCCTGCACACCCTAGAAAGTTTCAGCCATAGCCACACATTTCGGGTTTTTCGCATAAAGCCTTTCGACTGATATTGACCGCTGGTCAGACCCAATCTCGACAGCCGTGTCTGGTAACAACAAAGGCAGGTTAAATGTAAAAGCATCTGCAAACGCTTCAGGATCAGCAACCAATTCCCCAAACCCCAGCGGAGAGACAGCGCATGGGTAGACTCACTGAGGGCATCTTCACACCATTTGTGGATTTTGTAATACTTTCCTTTCTTCACCGCGGTTTGCATTGCACGCTCATACTCCGGGCCCATCTCCTCGCTGAAAGCCGAATACAGCCTCTCCGCAAACGAGGTCCAGCCGTCTGCCATGCCGCTAATATCCATCCACCGGTCGAGACCGTCACCGATATCGCGCTTGTACTTTTTGTTGTCGGTCGTCTGCACTACCTTCTCGAAGAATGCCTGCATCGCTGCTGACGGCAGTTGGGGGTCCAGCGAGGGGAGCAGCAGCGCCGTCGCACGTTGCCCCCCCAGGGCCATGAGCGTGTTGATGAACGCATCGTCGGGGTCGGGTTCCGTTTCCCAATGATACATGGCCCAAGCGCTAAGGATTTGATAGGAGGGCCGATCTTCGTCGACCAAGGCGTTATTGCTGTTTTTGTCGTCCCAGGTGGGCCGCCAGTCGTGGTAATAGAGATAGTCTGCCACCAACAGGATCGCGATGCTGTATACATGATTGGTATCGACGTCCAGAATCGAACTGGCAAAGTCCTTGGTTATCACCTGGTCCTTAAAATACGTCTGGAAGTCCGGCTTGTCCTCGGCCAAGCGCTGAAGATCAACGCTAGAGTTTACGTAGGTAAGCTGGTCTTGAATATGCTCTCCCCACAGAGTGGCGGCCAGCGGGCGGCAAGCCCCAGGAATCCAGAAAGGCAGCATGTAGATCTAGATGCAATAGGTGTCTTGGTCAGACTTTTGGGGTTTTCCTCGTGTACGATAGAGAGCCATACAAGAAGGCCAGCAATGTCCATGAGATACAACCAGCATCCCGAATCTGCGTACTTGAAAAGGCCGTTTAAAAGCCAAAAGTTGACCGTGCGAGCTCTCGATGGCAATCCTTTCGGTCCGGGCCTAGGTTGGAGGTGGAATCCTCATTATCCGGATAGGGCTTGACATCGTCAATGAAATCTCGCAGAGTGTCTAGTTCGGGTATTCGTCTGGCTTTATAGTGACATCGACGAGCCCAAGCATCCATATCAGGCTCCCCGAGGGTTCTGAGGGCCTGGTTGATATCCTGGAAGATACTCTCGAATTCGTTGTCATTCATCGTGTTTGCTTTTCTTCTTTACCTAGGACAAAGGGATGTCGTTTGTATAGTTTCACAATTGAATTTACCTGAGCATCATTGTTTTCCCCCAGCGAAAGTTGATGAGGGGGAGGCTCGCGCTCTTTAATAGCCACCCAGCGACTATCGATGACGTTCTGGTGCGGTAAAGGCTGTGTTACTTTATGACATTAAATTTAGAGTATTACCCGCTTTCACTCCGACCTGGCCATGGAAATAGTCAGTGAATGCAAGGCAGAGACAGGTTATGAACAAATTTCATCTTGTACTCGGTCGCAGAGCATAGCTAAGTCGGATGACGTGTCTTAATGCGCTCGTCCCCGCATAGCCATCGACTACGGTAGGCTGGGACGGCGAATGAAGAACACCGACACCGACTCATATGCGGAGGTAATCCAATCGTATTACTATGATGATGATAGCAGCACGTGTCAACTTCAATTCTGCGCCAGGAAGACGACCCGTTTGCGTCAAAGTCTACTGATTATGAGCCTATCAAACATCTCACTGACAGCTACACTACCAGTTCAAAGCTTGATACTATACCCGATGACTTGTTGTTCGCAAGGCGTAACCTTCCCTTTACAATGCCCAGTGACCCCTCTCCAATAATAAAGGCTGCCAATGATATTGCCCCTTCACCAATCGTGGGCACCCACCCACTGCTGCCTTTGGTCCATAGTATCTCCGTCCAATTCGTACTGACGGACGAGCTCTTATATCTTGGATCCAGCATGAATGCTCATCGGTGTTTGGCGCGCTAGCCGTTGATGACTCTGAGAAAAGGTGTTGTTTCCGAGGGCAGCAGCCGTGCTCAGATCGAGAGCGAGTGCAAAGGAAGCAATTATGCCGGCCAGACGAAGTTTCCCTCCGGATCCGGTACATTTCATGATCCGGAGCGCCTCTTGCTGTGTTTGATATGACGTACCTCCTCCGACCACCCCAACTGGTAGAGATGGGAAGTAAACAGAGGCCTTAAGGTACTGATTCGGACGGTCATACTCCAGAACCGTATGCGACCAGCAAGCTTCGGCTATACTGACTGCGTCCTGTCCGGCAGCGATGAAAATAGCGGCCAAGATATTGGCGGTATTGACGTTGCTCCCATGCATACCATTGCGGATAGCGCCTGCTTGCAGTCTTTGATGTGAGGTATAGAGAACTTCGGGCGTGCAGCCGAAGACGGCTTGACAGGCCGACTCGGAGATAGACGTCCAAGCCATGACCTGAACCCCGCGTGGTGTCTTCACATTCCCCCAGGACGGCTTTTTATCCGATGACATGTTGCCTTCGACCTGGACGTCTAGGATCCCATACTCCATACGCCGGGGTGGCTCCATAAGCCATTCACACGCCCGCTGAGTAGCGATAGTCACCATATTTTGCCCCACTGCGTCGCCGCAAGTGTAGTCAAAATGGAGGTGCACATCTGCCCCGACGATATGTGGTGTCAGGGTCTTGACACGAGCGCGATGGCTGGTGGACTCCGCCTGTCTAATCAACGCCGCCTGCAGCTCGGGCAACCTTTGAACGAAGGCGACAGCGTCATCCGGTGCAGGGAACCTAAACACAGGTGCCCGGGACATACCTTCGCTAAGGATATGAAACTTGACACCTCTGCTCTGATTGATTGCTTTACATCCCCGGCAGCAGCTAGCAATTAGAGCTGCCTCTGTTGTAGCCATGGGCGCGTATGTGCTGTGGTTATATCCTTCCAAGCCGTGGATGTGCAAAGGACCGGCGAGGCAAACCGGCACTGTCGAGTATCCAATAAAATTCTCTATCTTAACGTCCCTATAGTTGGTATTGTGGCTGGCTGTATGTCCCATGTCGGCGAGAACATGACCAAACCTAGCCCTGGTAGCGGGGGCCAAATTATCTGGCGCAGAGGACAGGATATGGCGGCTAGTGTCTGACATGGCCAACGGAAGAGGTAATGTTGCTTGACTCTGAAAGAGAGAACTTACACCTTAGTAAACAGAAAGTTGATCAGGTATCCCCTGCAAAAGTTACTTAAATATAATACACGTCCAGATTCCTGATCGACTGCGCTGCATTATGTTCATGCTTGTATCCTGATATGGTACTGGTTTCCATGCTGAGTACCTCCTGTTTGCGTCATACGTGAGGATGCTGCCAATTCTGTACTCGTGTCACTGGCCCTAGATAGCACTGATATACTCTCGTGATGGCGATCCTTTCTTATCATAGTAACACCGAGGTAGGAACTGCCACTTACTCCCGTATGTACGTCTGCAGCATTCCAGATAGGGTGTGTGACCACAACCATCAGAACTGTCATCCACTACAAGGAAGCGTAACATCTGCTCCGCCCCGTGTTTGTGAATGGGTATAAAGGGATAGAAAGTAACGTACCCCGTCATGGCGCACCCTGTATAACATATATTTCGCGTTCTGCCAATACAGCAGACTTGAAATAGTTAGTTCTCTCTATCGACCCTCGTACTCGCATGACTTTCCCGGGTCTTATCACGAGTGGATTTATTGCCAGGTTACACAAGGGATAGATAGCGTACGTATCGCAGTATAAATTACGCTCCCTAGCATATACTCCACATTCCATCAATGCAGAAGGCTTAAAGTGGTCACACATGACTTCCTTCCCCCGCGGTCTTCGCTCTGGTCGGAATATTATTCCTGGATATTCTTTTGGCAAGTTGAACATCACGGACATCAGGAAGGGTGCGTCTCGGGTGACTCGCTCGGTAGCTTAGCGGACATAAATCCGTCCGGTGTATACATCAGAAACCCTGGGGCGACTGGGCCATGGGATACACTGTGTCGTCTTTAGTTCATATTAGTAGTCTTGAGCACGAGAGACCAGGATCCGACGAATATATGCCGGCCAGGGTTCTGAGACATGGAAATTGCGAATGTCATTGGAGGGAGGCAATTGCTTTCTCCCCTTAAACTTTCTTGTTGAGGAGGGTTCCACTTTGTATTCCTCGACCAATGGTTGTTGGTTTTGCAGGATAACTATTCTCTGCTGTTTGTTATCATTGGCTACGTCTTAGATGTAGAAAAAGATTGCCACCCGATCTGCTCGATATCTAGCCCAAGGACAAGAGGAATTACTTTCTGGAATGTGATAGTAGTGTGCTATCACATTTATGCATACCTCCTCATGATAACAGACAAACACGATATCTTAGACAGAACCTCCTTCACTGCCCAAGGCTGCCGTGTCAGGGACATCCTACTCGGATTTGCGCGGAATTGGCTTTAATTCACAGGTCTTGCTTTCCATGCATGCCGCAGCATGTTCGATGATGGCAGCCTACAGATCTTTGCCTCAGTCTCATACATACAGGCCTCGAATCCTAATGGGGCAGGTGCCCCGGGGTTTCATGTTTGAAAAAGCATAATCGCGGTTGTTAGTTCATTGTTTTTCCAGTGATAAAAATGTCATGAAAATTTGGGCACCGCAGCTATATCTTTCCTGAAATAGATCGAGAGTGAGAGGTTCTCCGGGTCTAAGCCACCGGTGGGGCCTTCTGATAGCGTCTACTCATATTCAGGACGAACCAAGCGATCACTCGTGGCGACAATGTTAGCTAGGTGGTGTTGACTGATTATCTAGCGATGGACAAAACCCAATCCATGTTTTCCTGTGATTCCGTCGCCTGCCAGGTTCCTTTCTTAACCTCAGAAGCACCTGAAAACCACCTAATATATGCCTATCTCTTCTTCCCTCCTGCCATCTATGTAAGGACTTTCTATATGTGCACATACTTCATTGCTCCTGCCAAGACGGCAATATATATTGTTTGCGGATATAACCCGTCGGATACAACATGAGTCAGAGTAGAAAAAAGAGAGAAATAAATTGAAGTATGGGTAATAGTGTCATAATATTTGTGACGGACTGACCCTGAACCACTATATAGAGCGATGCGCAGCCAACTTTGGGGACTTGGTATTCTAGTCTTTTAGTAGTCTAACGGTTAAATGTTCCGGTTCAATGACCTAAACTGATGACGGAAGGCGGTAGAAGAGCACTTACCACTGACTGTGACAATATTCTTCGAAATGGCCTCCACTCGAGCAATAATCTGGTCACTAAGGACAATCATGCCGACAGACAGCCAAACCTGTGGCTCAATAGAACTATGCCCGATAATTTATACTCTAGCATATAGCCCGTCTCTAAAATACTCAAAGCACATACGACCACAGGGTGTGGAGAACAGGGCTTCCCGTCCGCTCAGCCGTACTTAAGCCACACGCCGGCCGGTTAGTAGTTGGGTGGGTGACCACCAGCGAATCCCGGCTGTTGTATGTTTTTCTTTTTTTCTGTCTTCTTCAGATATATTTTTTTTTTCACCTGCCTGGCATTATCCCTTCTCCACATTGTCATAGGAATAAATCTCATGCATCATGCATCGTTGCTTCTAGCACGGAAATTTCTCGATCCTGAGTAGCCCGATCTGAGTATATAATGTCTGTGGATTATCTCCGTTTCTGGAAACTTCAACCTAATACCATCTACTAGCCTAGCTATTAAACATCAAGCCAGCCGCCGGCTGGAACGTGCGCAAAGAGAAACCCCGGAAATCCGCCGTTTGCAGCCCGTATCTCCCTCACATGTTGGAGCCTCGCTTGTATTGCCTTGCACCTTGCCTATTGTAGTTAGTCTGCATGTGACCCACAGTGGATATAGCTAGTCAGCGGTCTTCGCAACCTTCATACAATTCAAGCATTCCACACCTGCAGTTCCGTCAACACATATGTCCACTGATCATGTACTCCCCCATAGACTCTCGCAAACCTTGGGTCTTGTAGTTTTTCATTAGCCTCACGCTGACCCTCGAAGGCCGCGGCTTTTGTAGCATCCTAATCCGTGTTATCATCAAGCGTCTTGGATATCTCAACTGCCCATGAGTAGGCCACTGCAGCATTGATAGGAAGTCCCAGCGCTCGTTGACTCTCTCCGACCAACCAGAAAGTTAATGTAGCATCGACAGCCAATTGCCGCTCCACACTGAAGTCATACCCTAATCGTACTAGCTCCTGCACACGATGAACCAACATTGCAGCAAAGTTGGACATGTCTTTGTATCTTTCCTCGTTCCCGAGAGATCGTATCACAGTGTGCCATATAATAAAGGTCTCATGACTGTACGGCCTGAGACCTCTGTCAATACAACATAATATGAAGCGTAGCTGTTGAGGCGATCTCCCTTTGTACGGGTCATAGAATCCACCCGGGTCAGCCCTTGGGAAGCTGGCTTGATTGTACGAATGAAAGGCTTTCAAGCCTTCGACCTCCTCCATGTTCCGGGGATACTTCGACATCCAGTAGTCTCTGCAGAGTGCATCGTATGCCAAATATATATGGCCATGAGAGTCCCACGTCAAATCTTCCATTTGTAGAAGAATAATGCGTCGTATGTCGTGCGGTGCATAGTACATCTCCACCCATTCCTTAATGGAAGAAAGCATCCGTTTCTGAAAATCCTCATAGCCGTTGCTGTGAAGATGGTGCAGAACCGCAAAAATGTCTGTGAATAGCCGGGGATGGCAGCTGTAGCTCGTGATGATGGTCTCAAGCCGTTGAAAAGCGCTCTGTAATAGGGCATTCCCTATGTGATGCTCTGATCGGTTGAGATGCTTGATAGCAGCCACTACCCTATTGTGAAACTGACTCAGCTCAAAGACCTCACTTCGTGACTTTGGGTCTCTGGCAAATATGCCATTTTGGTCTGGTAACCATTGGAACCTTCCACGGCCCATGTCAAAGAATCGCTGAGTGAAGTAAACTAGATCTCGAAACCTTTTGAAAATTATGGGATCCTTCAGCTGTGTTGCACGCTTTGGAAGAGGAACGATGAAGGATGTCCGGCCACGTGGAGGTTCATTGCATGGGTGACGATCTTTCTGTCTTCGGTCATGGTCATCGATCCTCTTGTTCTCAACAAGAACACCATCAATCACGGTTAAATACTTCCAGGGCTCGTTTTGCACTCCTAGCCTTTCTTTCTCCGACTTCGTGTATGCGACCAGCTGTTTATTGAGGTTTTGATGAATCCCGAAACTTCTCAAGACAGATGAAGGGGGATTAACACAATGGAGCTATCTGCGAGTTCGTTCTCACATACGATTCAGGATCCGACCCTCTGGACTGTAATTGCAGTAGAGCAGTGTAAATCTCCCCTTCGCTCAATATGAACGTGTTTTGGTAACGGTTGCCATAGTGCCAAGTATTACTCCAAAATGGATTCATGGCGAATGTTATCCAATGTCATCGGAGGCGTCCAGCCGTGGAGAAATTCAAGAGTGTGGATTTAGCAGGGAAGGACTGTACCCCTCAACACAATTTTGTCACGGGCTTTCTACTCCGGATACACTCCAAATGAAGTCATAATTATGTGAAAAGACCAGCCCCTCAGCGCTGTAAACATGGGAATCCTCGCCATAGAACCACCATTTTTCTTCTTTTAGGTTCACGACCCGGTGGTTTGTCCATTCAGGGCGTGTGTTCCCATTGGCAAATGGGACCCGGAATAGCACTTTTGTTCGCTACTTTATGGGTCTGATATAATGCCTTCCTAGTATATGCAGCTTCATTAAACACTGTTTACCTTAGGCAGGGGCTAGACTGCCCTCGCTAGCTAGTTCAGCAGCCAGATGATGAAGAATGTAGCTCACATCGGCATGACAGCGGCCATTGCGCTTGGTGACTTGAAACGCGGCCTTCGTCTATATATTGAAGGGCCCTCCCCACAGGGTCTTCTTTCTTTCACACTCCTTTTACCTACCTCCAAATAACCTCACCATCACAAAATCCCCAGCCTTGAGCAACCCCTTCTTGCCTGTTCATTAGTCTCATTGACCTTGTGACCTTCATCTCTTTTTCATTCGAGACTCAATCCATTCACCCGTCCCTTTCGATCAACATGCCGAACGTCGATGGCTGGAAAGCTTTCACAGACTACATGTGTAGTACTTTGACAGAGGAGATGCAAGCGTTGCTGGAAAATAAGTAAGTCATGGCATGATGTATCATCTACTATGTATAGACCTCACGGACTGTCATTACAGTATGGGAACATCCTGCCTCCTCGTCACCGGTGGTACTGGCACTGGTAAATCGTCTTTCATTAAGTGTATAACCACCAAGGACGTGTATGTCGGGTCTACCCTCGAGTCAGGTAATTAGGATAGCAACCCAAGGAATATATTTTCGGTCTGATGCTAAGAGAAAGCTAGGAACAAAATCAATCAGTCTGGTTCCCTCCGTCATTCATGAGAAACTCTACATGTTCCTTGACATGCCCGGATTCAACGCGGATGACCTGGATGACTGGGAAACCTTCTCCAGGCTCATGAATGCAATGGCTGTGCTGAAAAACTATGTCGTATTTCGTGGCGTGATATACGTGGACCCTATGGATGCACCACGGGCTTCGCCTGCCGCAAGGAACATGCCCACCTGGCTCTCTCGCTTCTGTGGCATTGAATACATGCGCAATGTTACCGTAGTCACCACGAAGTGGGATCTTCTCAGCGCAGATGGGATTGAGCAGAGGCTTGAGCGTGTGGGATATTGGAAAGAACATCCCTTATATCATGATTTTGTCAACTACGAATCGGTCGTGTACCACCATGGGCTTGTGCAGGAGAACGGAAATAACACAACACTCAGCGAGCGAAAGCAAAACGAAGAGAGAAAGTTGGGAGCAGAAAACATGATTGCAGAGCGCTACCGCGACCCCTCATCTGTTCAACTTCAGGTTGATATTGAAATTGAGAATGGGGCATCCATCTACAGCACGGAAGCCGGAAGGTGGCTGAAGAGGTTTGAGCCTCGAAGCGGATCCCCTGAAAGCTCGACATCTTCCCAAAATGATGGGCAACGTGGCCCAGGCGAATCATCCGGTAAGACTTGCCGCTAATAAAGCAAGAATATCTTCATTACCTCTATCTGATTCCTCGTATTGCTAACTACGGAGTGTGTTTTCAGGATTCTGGGCCGGCATTCGAGCGAAAGACTGCGTTGACCTTTTCGTGAATGCTGCGAAAGTATATAGGTCAATGACTGACCCGGTGACATTTAGTGCGGGACCTTCTTTTGACTCCTTTGAAAGTACCGGGGTGTTTGAGGACGTACCTTTCTTCGGTGAGTCTTCGTCTTTCGATGGTTTTGAATGAGAAGGCCATGTCGCGTCAATCGGACCATACAACCCAACGCAGGTGCAGCTTAATGCTTGGGTGGAGGATAGCAGACGCCTAATGTATAATGGTTAATGTTTAATCTTGATGGTTGGTATCAGGATGTTTTGTCTCCTTTCATGCTCGTGCACAGAGATTGATTACTGCATTGGCTTTTGTTTTTATTGGGAAAGGGAAATTGCTGAAGGAACTAATGGAACCGAATTTCTATAAGTGAAACCTACGATACTATACTCCACGCCTAGATTGGTCAGTGTCTTGAGCTGTAGGAAATAAGCAATGAGCTCATCCAGGATATTTACACCTAATAAAAAACACGACTCTAAGCAACAGTAACAAAAAACCCCTTCTCTCCCTCCTTACTCACCACCTTCCCTCTCTCCAACAACTTATCCCCAACAGCTAATCTCAACCTCTCCGCCGTCGCCGGACTATCCAACACCAACGGCTCGACAACCCCATTCGCCCCCCTCGCTGCCTTCAACGCATCCCTCAACGCAAACAACACCGTCGAACCCAGGAAAAGCGGCGGCTCGCCAATGCCTTTGCTTGACTGAATCGACCGCAGATTCTTCCACTCCACGTCCCTCAAAAAGCTCACGTGGAACTCTTGCGGGATGTCGCTGAATCCAGGGATCTTGTAGTTCCCCGGTCCTCGGGTTGCTAGTTGGCCCGAGGAACTGGTCCAGAGGGATTCTTCCATTGTGAACAGTCCTTGGCCTTGCACGAATGCTCCTTCCACTTGCCCGTAGTCGATGGCTGGGTTTATGGATCTTCCGACGTCCATTTTTATCGATGTATAGAGGACTGTGTGGTCGCCTGTTAGGAGGTCGAGTTCAACTTCCGTGCATGCCGCTCCCTTTATTCAACGTGGTTAGTGGAATGGACTGGTTTGGTATGATGGCAGCAGGTAATACGGGGGAGAATGGGCATACCTGAGTAAAGTAGAAATACATCGGCTTAACAGTCTTCGGATCATAATTCCCCCATTGATATCCGATCGTGGGCATTTTCCAGAACCCCGTGGCAGAGAGGTCCACGCGATCAATGTATGCGGCGTGCGCGATCGTATGCATATCTGCGTCTTTGCCAAACTTTGCCCGATATGGAGCAAGCCGTTCGTTTAGCTGGTCGCAGGCGTGCTGCACAGCCATGCCGTTTAGGTCGCTACCTGATGAGGCAGCGGTGGGCGAGGCGTTGGCAGATTGATACGATGATGTATCCGGGGTGTAGATGCTATCGAACGGCACGTTCAGGGCTTGTGCAGCCACCTGTGCCATTTTTGTATATAGGCCCTGGCCCATTTCTGTACCTCCATGGTGTAGTAGGACCGAACCGTCAGTGTATATCCTCACTGCGGCGGTGGCTTGGTTGAGATGGAGCGCTGTGGCGAAGGAGATGCCGAACTTCGTCGGGACTAAACTGATGCCGCGTTTGCGGTATTTGTGCGTAGCGTTGAACTTGGCGATCAGGACTTTTCGGTTCGCGTAGTCGGAATCGTGAGCGAGTTGTTCGAGCAAAATAGGAATGTGCCAGTCACTGTCGATGGTTTGGAGGAATGGTGTCCTCTGTCCGGGCTTGTAGAGGTTGATCTTCCGTAAGTTGTCGATGTCGATGGATAGTCCTTCGGCGATGGCGGACATGTAGCTCTCCGCGATGAACATTGCCTGGGGGCCACCGAACCCACGGAAAGCGGTGTTACTGTGTGTGTTGGTTTTGCAGACCCAGGCCCGGATGTCCACGTTGGGGATATGATAGCAGTTGTCGAGATGTGTGCAGCATCGATCCATGACTGCGCCGCTCATGTCGAGCGAGTAGCCGGCGTTGTTGTAGCAGTCTGCAGACAGCGCCATAAGGCGTCCGTCGTTCATCACACCTATTTTCCAGCGACACTGAATTGGGTGTCGCTGGCCAGATGTCATCATATCCTCATCACGGTTGAGCATGGCGCGCATAGGTCGACGGGCCTTCTTGGCCGCGATAGCGAGAAGACAGGCAAGCTGTACACTGCGGGATTCTTTGCCACCGAATGCGCCTCCCATTCGCTTCACGCGAGCGTTTATGCGATGCGAGGGTGTGCCGGTGACATGCGAGACGAACTCCTGGGTTTCCATCCTGCTTTGGTTAGCGATGCGAGCTTCATGATAGACCTGCGGAAATAGCATACGTATTCTGTGTCGAAGACCATACTTCCATAGACCCATCCTCGACATGAGGGATCACCATTGCAGCGTTCGTCTCCAGATAGAAATGCTCTTGTCCACCGACTCGCGTCGTGCCAGTGAAAATCCGATCACATTTTGCAAATTCATCATCCATCTTCTCCGGAAGTGCTCCCTTCCGCAGCTCCTTCCCGTGCTTAAAGAAGCTCTTCGCCTCAATCGCTTCGTCAATGGTCAGGATAGCAGGAAGGTCCTCATACACCACTTTGACTGCCCTTGCAGCAGCCTGTGCCTGCAGCGCCGTCTCCGCATAAACCATACCGATCGGCTGACCATGCGAGAAGACTTCATCTTCGGCGAAGAACGGCTCGTCCCGGACTACCGATCCCCAGCGGTTCTTATTCGCAGGGATGCTATGTTTGTCGATGTATCCTGCTGCCAGACCGGGCCCCAGGGCAGGAGTCCAGTCGACAGAAATGAGCTTGGCATGTGCGCGTTGCGACAGAACCATGGCGCCGTACATTTCTCGGCTTTGAGGGGGCATGTCGTCGATGTATTCTGCTTCACCGGTTGTGTGTTTCAATCCCGAGAGATGAGGTAGCTGCTTTCCGACGACACGTTGCTCGTAGGGATTGAAGTCGTCGCGTGTTCCAAATGAGATCTTTCGATGGATTTCATCCATGTTCTCTGTTGTTCCAAGCTGGAATTCCGAGATCACTTCATTCCAGAACCGGAAGAAAAGACTGAGGGTTAGGGTTCTTCGGTAGGTTGCCATGCCGCCGGGGACGCTGTACGGGAGGTTGAAGTCGCTTGAGAGTGTTTCCAGCGCTTTGTCGAGGACTTGCTCGTCGCCCCATTTCTTGCCAATTAGATACTGCGTGGCTTGTTTGGCGAGAACTGTGGTCGGTGCCATTCCGCCGTATGCCAATGCCACGTCGGTGACCTTGAACTCGTCGTCGAGACGCACTCGAAACGCAGCTGTCACGATGGCAATGTCATCGTCCTTGCGCTTCGCTTGTTTGTAGGACTTTGTTAGCTCCTTCGTTCCTGGAGGAGGTAGCGGGACTCGGATTTCTGTTATGACGCTACTTGGTGGGAGAGACGTCCTGCGGTAGCCTAGGAACATGCTCTTCATCGGCAGGGCTTGCTCCCCTTTGACTGTCCGTGCCACCACCGTGGCGTTCGTGGCCAGGAGCACCGGGTTCATATCGGATATTGGGGACGCAGTGGCTATATTCCCTGCCAGACTCGCCGCGTTACGGATCTGCCGTCCGGCGAAGTATCGAAGCACCTTGGCGATAGCCTCGAGGACGGATCCACGTTGACCGAGAGATGGGATGAGTCGATGACATTCAGCTTCAACATTGCTGAGACTTGCGTTACCGCCGACCACGAGCTCTGTTACCACTGAATCCTTCTCCGTGGTTGAGATCTGCGCTAGCTCCTCGATGTCTCCAACGAAGATCGACAACGGAAACTCTGTGCCCTTGAATCGAATGTCCACTTGCACCTCGCTTGCTCCGCCGACCAACCGGGCAGAAGGATACTGTGACAGGATCTGCAGCGTTTGTTGGATCGTGACTGGCCTCGCCCATACCTTTTCGTCCGTCCCGTAGGCTAGTATCTCCGGCGTGAAGTTTGAGAGACCAGGCGGATAGATCAACTCTGTTTTGGGTGTATACGGGATGAAGACGAACTGCTGGATCGAAGATTTCCGTGACCCTGGCCCGGACTCCACGCTCGACAACTCTGTCTCCTGGGTCCGACCGACGCTTTCACTCTCCGTCTTACTTGTCCCGGAACTCGATGAACAGGGAGTACCTGGCGAGTCACGACAGCATCCCCCTGCTCGTCCGCATGGCCCAGAAGACGCAGATGCTTTATCTCCTTGCAGACTTGCACCCTCAAGTCCAGCTGTAATCTCTTTCTCCAAGTCGGACGATGCACTCTTGGTTTTGAAATCCACATTGCCGCCTAGATCCTCCTGCACAAACGTCTTCGCGGCCTGCAGGATCGGCTTGTATCCCGTGCATCGACACAGGTTTCCGTCTAGGTGGCCTTTCATTTCGATCTCGTCTTCGGATAGCACGAATTGTTCGGTTGTAGGGTCGTAGGCGTTGCGGATCACGGCGTATAGGGACATGACGATGCCGGGGGTGCAGAATCCACATCTGAGATACCGATCAGTACAGTTACCTCTGGTTCAGAGCGTAGCAGGAAACAGTGGAGAAGAGGAACATACTGTGATCCATGCAACTTGCCCAATCTCTCCTGCAACGGGTGCGGATTGTCCACGTTTCCCAGTCCTTCGATGGTGATGACATGTTTTCCGACCACTTTCTCTTTGTTAGCACCCCTTCCCTAAAAGGTCCCCAGTTCTGTCCTCAAGGCGAGATCAAAGAGAAAGGAGGGAATCAAACAGTACCTCCAACCAACGGATACAAACAAGCATTCACGGCGATATGTCTAATCCTCCTCGTTCGTGGATCCCTCGTCTGCAAGACCACCGTACACGCACCGCATCCTCCCTCACCGCAACCCAGCTTTGTGCCTTTCAGACCGTGTTGCGAGCGAATAAAATCGAGCAGGGTCCAGTGCGGGTTCGGATTCGACAGGGATATAGGGGTTCCGTTCAGGTAGAAAGAGAGGGTTGAGGAGTGTTGTGTTAGAAGGGAATTCATTTTGGTCGACGCATTTCACTGAAGACACAATTTCTCGGAACTATTCAGATTCCCATTCAGAGAAAAGCGAAGGGAATCTTAATCTCGCAAAATAAATCTCCCAGGCAATCCCTCGTGGCAAATACCAACGTTCTTTCCCCTCATCTGCAGGTCTCGCAAAAGTGGGGTTGGCCTTGCATTTGAGGCATTCCATCCCACTTTTCACGTTGCAGATGATGCGTCACAGAGGGAGGAGATTTGTCTTCGGGTTTCCGGTCGGATTGCATTCAAAGGCTATCCGATAGGTCCAGCGAAGCAGACGTGCAGATGCGACGAGGCTGTTCGGGCCTTTTATGGCTCTTTGGGGGGTTCTACGGATGCGCATTGGTGGCTTTGGGATCATTGTCTTTGGCGCTCGTGTTACCCTTCATCGGTGTTAGATAATCGTATTTCGTAAATAAATCGGAGAGTTCAAAGAAAGGGTCTATGAGAGCATATGTAAATGTAATCGTAAATGTAACAGTTAACGTAGTAAATACAGTCATACTATCTACTCCCCATGTTGACCAACACCTTCATAGCATCATGAACAACTCCCCATCGCACCCCCGCCAACTGCTGCGCCATCGCCATGACCAGTCCCCTCGTCTCGTATTTCCCTCCTAGACTGGCCAACTCGTCGCCCTCACAGCTCGTCATCGCCACGATCAGCGACGAAATGTCTGTTGTGATCCTGCCCTGTCCCGGGTGTCCCGGACCCCTTCTGTCTTCAGCTCGGGCGTGGAAATGGAACGCCCAGCACGTCAACGTCGCTAGGTATAAACACCACGGGAAATGGAATGCGTCGGTCTGTTCCCAGTCCTGTAGGGTGAGGATCGCGTCTTGCAGTAAATGTGCTGCGTGTCGCGCCGCGGTGATCGAGGAGTCTGTTTGTAGCCATCGAGGCAGGATGTGGAGGGATCTGGCACGGTCGGAGTCCGTAACTCCGCGGCTGAGGATCTGGGTTGTGCCGGCAGCGATCTGGAGATCGAGGATTTCGACGTTCAGCGCGATGTGCGCGGCGCGATAGAGGGCGTGGGCGGAGGATTTCAGGGATGTCAGACGGCCGATGTCTGGGTCTGTGAAGGTGGATGGTTGAGTAGGGGATTGTGAAAGACACAGCTTGCTGGATAGACAGTCCGCGTCGAAGTCGATCTTCCAAAGATCATAGGATCGACCCATTCGACGTGTCCAGACCCCGACTCGCTCCGGACTGTCACGGATGGTGGTTTGATCGCGACGTTTGAGGTCGGCGGATACGGACATGAGCCCGTGTAGAACGAGTAACCTCGCTAGGGGGTTCAGGTCGCGAGGTCGTGTCACTGATCCTGGTGTAATGTACCCCTTCAGAACGGAGAGGAAGGAATGTGATTCTGGCTCTCGTGAGGCACTTCGCATCCATTCTTCAGCAGTAGACGCTTCCCACACCGCGCTGCTGCATGGAAGGGCGCTGCGGATCTCGAACGCCGACATGCACAACGACTGCGAGAAGAGGACCGCGTGCTGTGTGTCCCACATGAAACACTGCATTGCGAGACGTTTCCGCTGCTCGGCCTCCATGGCCTTTCGCCAGGTCTCGTTCAAGTCGCCGGTTTCTTGCTCGATCCCCGACGCGGAGAGATCTGGTGAGTTGGCGCGGACTGTGCAGCATCCGCTGCGACGGATCAGTTTGATCAATACGCAGTGGAATAGCTGGGCTGTTTCACGTTGCTTAGGCCCCGCGCGCATTTTGCCGAAACAGTCTATCAGCAGCATGGTTTGGAGGACCCAGAGGTCGGGCGAGGGCGAGAATGCCTCGTTGCAGAAGAGCTGCGTGCGCAGGTTGCCGTGTAGGCTGACGGCTAGTTGATGAGCCTCGCGTGTGCTGTAAGTCGCACCCATACAGAGGATCGAGGCCATGAAGACAGGCTGGAGGGTGGTTGGGTCGAAGGTGGGTTGGTGAACGAGTGGGTAGACGGTGTTGAAGCGGGTAAAGAAGAGATCGCTGTAGTTTTGTAGGGAGGCCAGACTGAGCAGTGTGTCGACTTGTGCAAGTACGACAGGGTCGTGAGTTACTAGCGACAATATTCCCTGTCTGACCTCCTCCGTCAGACGAGGAAGATGCGGCGCTGGACTCGGGTCGAGCATGTTGGGACCCATCCAGTCCATGTCCAGTGGACTGAGTGTCAGGTTGATGTCGCGATTGCGCTCGACGAAGGATGCTGCCTGCAAGAGGACGGACGATCCGTCTTGGTCGAGCAATTGGTCAGCATCTGGGAGGTCCAGGCTAGCTGGGGGTGTGTCCAGCGCGTCCGCGAAGGTCATCATGTCAGGACCCAGAGGGACGTCGAGTTGGTGGAAGGCGTCGTCCAGCGAGGCAACGTCGAACAGCCAGTTGTAATTGTGTGTGGCGGCGAAGGGCATATTAAAATCGGTTGCTATTAACGACATAGGTTAGCTCTGGCAATGCTCTCACTCGATCACTCCTCTCAAGAATGGAACACACCTGTATCCAACCCAAACCCATCTGCCAGCCCCTGCGGCTCCAGCCCTAAACTCCACGATCCATCCGCCGCGTCAAACTGTCCCGGTATAGGCTCGACAAACGGCTCGAACGGACCTCCCGCCATCATCGGTGCCAGCAGGGGATCTGTCTCGTCGAGAGACAACGACGGATGGTCGCTGGCCGACCCAGGAGGCGACACGGGCGCTCCATGTGGCGGATGGTCGGTGTCATCGGACAACGAAGCCGTCGCGTGCGATGGCCGTCGAGCCTGCCGCTTCGCCGGCCTCGTCACGATCGATCCATCACCGGCCCGGCGAGTTCGTTTACGAGTTTCGAGCACGCCGAGACCAGGACCGCCGGCTTCTTCGTCGCGTTTTGCATGGCGGAGCATGTGTCGAGCTGGAACCCACCGATCAGAGTGATTACGGGGCAGTGTAAGGGCAAGGAACCTACATAGAAGATCTGGACGATTGAAGTGCACGGAGCATCGCTCGCAGGTGTAGCCATTCCTCGCCTGTTCGTGATTCAAGGCATGGCGACGCAGATGTTCCGCCCGAGTGAATGTTTTCTGGCAATTAGGCCACTGACACGCGTGGGTTTTCATTATGAAGACATTATCAAACTGAATATACACTATGAACAACAAGGTCCTAAGCCCCTAGACCAAAATCCCAGGGAGACAACCCCCTCTTATAACCCAACTCCAACTACGAACAGCCACGATAAGCCGTGCAACGCATCCACGAATTGGAGCGTCCGGCCGATGCGGAGAAGCACGACTTTAGTGGCTTTAGTGTCTCTCTGATAGCGTCCAGATGACGATCGACCGGACTAATCAGCGCCCCTGATTGGCGCTCCCTATCAATTCGGCTTTCCTGCCAGTGTCTGGTTGCTGCAGCCTGGCCTATAGAAAGTATCTCCAATCGGCACTGGCCTCCCCCGCTGATAATTGCCGGGTGTCGACGTCTTCGCCGCGCCGTCGCATTCCCTGCGTCTGGTCTCGTCGTCGGTTTTCTAGTCGCATCCAGACTGCCAAACCTGTGGCGAAGATGATGCAGACGCCGTTGCAGCAACAGGTTGCCAGCAGGGTGGGGATGTATCTATCTTGTTAGAATCTAAGCTGTTTGTGTATCCGGGGAGACTAACTTGGGCGCATATTCCGTGCGAAATGTCGCCACGCTTAACACCCCCGCTAGATTTCCCAGTCCTACGAAGAATCCGGTATTCGCCGCTCGGGAGTTCTCGTGCACGTTGTTGTTGTTGTGCCAGGCGTGCACCAGACACGACGGGATGTATGCGCCCGCCGCCATCAGGAAGCAGGCAAAGTACGCAACGCCTTTGTTCGCGAGGACGTCGATCGTCGCGAGGATGATCATGCCGATGAGAGATAATATCAGCGAAAAGACAATGTGGAAGCCTCGCTCCCGGAAATAATCGGACGATTTGGCTACACAGAGCAGGAGCACCGCGCCGACCAGATTCGGCGCAACTGTCCATAGATTCGTCTTTACCGTGGAAAACCCCAGTCTTTGGACGATCAGCGGGAAGAAGTTCATCGCTGTCGCGTAAGCCACTGGATATGTGAAAGTGATGATGCACCAGATTGGGAACTTCCAGTCTTTCCATGTCTGGAATGCGGATTTCATATCCAGTCCGGTCTCGACTTCGGACGATGTATCGCGCAGCAGACGTGTCGTGGCGGCCTTGCGCTCTCGCTCATTCAAGAACCACGCTGTCTGGGGTCGGTCGGGGAGCCACCAGAATCCAATGATTCCGGTCAAGAGCGTCATGGACCCTTCGATGATGAAGAGCCATTGCCAGCCGTGCACAGCCGGATCGTTGATCTGGAAGACTCCGAAGGAGATCAAGCCACTGAAGGCAGAGGCCAGCACGGCGAAGGATTGCATGATAGCCAGTCGGAAGCCCATTTCACCACGGGTGTAGAACAGGGTGAAGTAGAAGGTTGCGCCGGCGAAGAAGCCGGCCTCGAAGACGCTGTTTCGGTCAGTTATCCCCTGGGATAACATGGGCTGCCCGCATACTCACCCCAGAATAATCCGGATAGCTAACATTCCCCCAAAGTTCTTGGCGGCACACTGACATAGGGCGAGGACACCCCAGACCACGGTCACTGAACAGTTAGTATGCCCACGACTAGAGAGGGATGGAGACATACTAAACGACAGCATGATCCGTCCAGAATACCGCTTCAGCAAAAGGTTCCATGGCAGATCGCAGAGCCCAAACGGGATGTAGAAGAGCAGGACGATCAGCGAGTACTCATTTCCTTTGAGATTGAGATCATTCTCCAGTCCATCCGTCTTCGCGTTGGCCAGATTACTCTAATCGGGTCAGCTTAGCAATCATCCCTTACGCGATAGACATACCCTATCCATGCAATCAAAGAAGTACATCTATATCGTCAGCATGACAACTACAAGTAGAATGGACAAGAGCATACCAAGCACAGTAGTGGCAGCAGGAAGAGGTCCACCTTGCGCACTGCAGCTGTCAGCGCGATCCACATCGTGGCAGGATTGCATCCTACCGTAGCTCTTCTCGGCATTTAGATCAATCTCCTGAGCCACCTCGCCCATCTTGGCCTCGGGGTCGTATGTCTGGGTTGGTTGTTTCTCAGACATTTTGTCGCTACGTGATACAGTTGCCGGGCGGAAAGTCGGTCAAGGTGGCGATCTCTATATACTATCCCTTGCATATCCCTGTCTACTTCCTTTCAACTAAGATTATCTGCTCAACCGTATGGACGCCTGTAGTTGTGTCCTGTATTGTGTACTTTCTATGGCCAATTACAAATCATGACTTGGACTATCTTATCAGAAGGAATCCAGATATCGATATCAGAGGCTATCAAGCGACGGCCCTAACCTCAAGTAGTCCCCCATTCTTGATCTCCCCACTCTTGCTCTTCTCCTGATCCTGATTTCGATTCCTTTGTTTTAGTCTCCTACCTCCTCCCAGCCACCCCATCGGCCTTCTGTCCGAGACATGCTTACCCCAGATCGTAGATACTGTGGATAAAGATCCCGCATCGCCTAGGTAGACAGCGCCACCCAAGAACAACAGTAATCCGAGTCAATTGCATTATTCTGATCGAACAACTGTGCCAGTTACAATTATATCATCACACCAAAATGTCCAAGTCTTTCGCTCCACCCATCCTCGACTTCTCGCCCTTCTACGGCGACGACTCCGCCGCGAAAGCCAAGCTCGTCGACCAGATCCGCGAATGTTGTCTGTACAACGGTTTCTTCCAGATCACGAACCATCGCGTTCCATTGGATCTGCAGAAACGGGTCATGAAGTGCGCGCAGCGATTCTTCGAACTGCCGTTGGATGAGAAGATGAGTATTGACAAAAGTACGTGCTCTAACCATCCCCCAGCCCATACCCAGCGAGGACACTCCTAATCCGAGGGAAATTAATAGATAAAAACACCTTCAACCGCGGCTACGAACTCCTTCGCTCCCAAATGCTCGAAGTCGGCACGGGCCCCGAACTCAAAGAGGGCCTGTACATCGGCGAAGAAATTCCCCTTGACCATCCCTACTACCTGCAACAGAAACTCAACTCCGGTCCCAACCAATGGCCCGCCAGCGTATCTGACGCGGAGGAGTTCCGTACAACATCCATGGAATACTACCAAGCGGTGATGGAGCTGGCGAAAGATATCCTCGGTATCTTGGCCCTCACGTTGCATGTTGAGAGCGATTATTTTCAACCCCTTACTGATGGTGCGGTCGCGACCATGCGGTATCTGCATTATCCGGCCCAGCCGAAGGATCAGGATGAGAAGTTGAATCGGGGGATTGGCGCGCATACGGACTTTGGGTGTGTGACGCTGTTGCTGCAGGATGAGGTCGATGGGTTGCAGGTTTTGGATGTGCCGAGTGGGGAGTGGTTGGATGTTAGTCTCCCTCTTTTCCCTTACTTTCTGAAAGTCGATGTATTGTGATATGCTAATGAGGTAGCAGGTACAACCTGTCCCCGGTGCCTACGTAATTAACCTCGGTGATCTGTTCATGCGCATGGCAAACGACAAGTACAAATCCAACATCCATCGTGTGATCAACAAGTCCGGCCGAGAGCGATACTCCATCCCCTTCTTCTTCAGCGGCAACCCGGACTATCTTTGCGAGTGTCTGCCTAACTGTCGGGAGGACGGCGAGCCGGCAAAGTATCCGCCCATCACGGTGCAGGATATGGTCAAGGGGGCGTATAAGGAGAGTTACGGTCGTGCGGAGAAGTACAAGTTGGAGATGATGATGAAGGAGGATCGGAAGTTGGAACTGGGGCCTGCGAGCACTGCTGTGGGGGCTTAGATCTGACTGCTGTTTGACGAATAGTATAGTTTCATGATTCATGTTATTGTGTAGTTTGTTGATTGTATGTCCGTTATTGCGATTATGTTTCTGCTACACCTGTGATTCATCCTTCATCGTATACAGTATAGTCTTACTTTTCGAGAACCATCGCTCCATGGCTTCAACTCCCTCGCCAAGCAACAATTGAACATCAAAGGTATCATCACTTCTCCTGCACACGTGCAAGCCACCGTAATGCATATCCCCAGAATCACAAACACGCTACCTTATCTCCATGATGTAACGATCAACACTCAGAAGTGGAGGATAATGAATCCAAGCCCATGAAGCCATTATCGACTCAATCCCCCACTCTTGGCTCGCCATGGCACTTGACCCTTGCACTCTTCCGGTCCAAACACGGCTAGCCCTAAGCTCCGGGGTTTGGAATGCTATTTGAGCGTCGTCAGTTCATGAACAAGGTGTATATATCAACCAGACGAGAACCAAACACCAGGAAAAACAGACAAGGCAAGATGGATGACATTCACAGCGACGAGAAGCGAAATGCCCCAGACACCACCAGCCCGGACGCTCTCCCTGAAGAACTAGGCAAGGTGATCCCCATTGATGCGGAAGTTGAGCAGTTCTACGGCCAGTCGACGAGCGATGCCTATCGCTTGAAATCGGAGTTGGTGGGTAGGTGCATGGAGGAGATTGGAATGGGATGGTATCTATCTTTGCTTTTCAATTCTCAGAGTCCTGATGCTGACGGGTTAGGTTCCAATGGAAGTTATTTGTTGTTACGGGGTTTGGGTGGATTGTTGATAATGTTTGTCTTCTTTTCCCCCTCATCAGTCTTTTGTTTCAAATGGTTTGATTCTGACGTGTTGGTGGATAGTTCGCAACTCAAGGCATCGGCAGCGTGCAACCCCCTATTCAACAGGAACTCAGTGATATCTCTCGTGTCAGCTATAGCTCCGTGGCCTACTATGTCGGTATGATCATCGGTGCTTCGTTCTGGGGTATATCGAGCGACTTGATCGGCCGACGGCCTGCCTTCATGACGACCCTGTTTATTGCAGGGACTTTTCTCTGTGGTGCTGCCGGGACCATGAACTTCGTGGCTTTCAGCGCGATGTGGGCTGTTATTGGGACAGCGGCCGGTGGGAATGTCCCCGTCGATTCCATGATCTTCTTGGAGTATGTCCCGGGCAGGTGAGTCTTCTTGGTGTTGTAATCCTCTACAGTAGCTAGTGCATGGCTAATAGTGTCTAGCCATCAATGGCTCTTAACCGCCCTCTCAGCATGGTGGAATCTTGGTCAGCTCATCGTCTCGCTGATAGCCTGGGTCTTTCTGGCGAAGTACAGCTGTCCAACGGACGCTACGCCGGAGACGTGCCAGAGAAGCGAGAACATGGGATGGTATGTATTGCCTATCTTATCTTCCTTCCTGTCGTCTTTCCCCTGACCATAAACCTAAAATAGGAGATATACACTCATTACACTCGGCGCCGTCGCCCTCTTCTTCACCTGCATTCGTATCTTCGTTTTCAAACTCCCCGAAACACCACGATACCTTCTCTCCCAAGGGAAAGACCAGGCGGCTGTCGACTCAGTGAACTACGTTGCTAGGCAGAATGGAAAAGAAGAGCCTCTGACAATTGGCATGTTGAGGGAAATTGATGCTAGAGTTGGCAGTGGCAGCGATACTAACGACACATCTCGGGCGGGACTATCGACTCACGAGATCCTCCGCGAGAACATGAAAGACTTCAAGTTCGAGCATTACCGCGCCCTCTTCGCTACTAAGAAACTCGCCCTTCATACGATGATCATCTGGGCTGTTTGGTTGACGATCGGTTTGTCTTGCCCTCCCCTTTTCCTTGTTCCATATCCATACCCTACATCCACCTCCTAAACAAAACGCTGTATAACCCACCCAACCTAACATGGCCATGGAATAAATAGGAATCGCCTACCCTCTCTACTTCAACTTCCTCCCCTCCTACCTCGCCACGAAATTCACCACCGACTCCTCCCTCTCCCTCACTTACCGAAACTACTGCATCCAATCCGCCGTCGGCATCGTTGGTCCCCTCTCCGCCGCTTTCCTCGTCAATACCTTCTTCGGTCGCCGCTGGATGATGGGTATCTCGTCTATCGTGACCGGCGTGTTTCTGTTCGCGTATGTAGGCGTGAATACCCCGACTGCCAGTTTGGCGTTTACGTGTGTTACGGGGGCGTTGGGGAATTTTGGTATATTTGCCCTTTTCCTGTTCTGTTCCTTGGTGGAGACCCCGGTTAGGCATGACATGATAGGAGAAAGCTAACAGAGAGCAGAATACGCAGTAATGTACGCCTTCACGCCCGAATCCTTCCCCGCGCCACATCGAGGCACCGGCACCGGCACCGCGGCGTCGTTGTTACGGCTAGGCGGCCTGGCGGCGAGTTTGGTGTCTTCGCATACGGGATTCACCCCGGCGCCGATTTATGCGAGTGCGGCGCTGTGGGTCGCTGTTGGGGTCTTGTGTATTGGGTTGCCGTTTGAGACGCATGGGCATGCTGCTATTTAGTTCCTTCCGGCTGGTTTGTTGGGACTGGGTTTGGGTTTGGGGGAGGTGGATTTTGGTGTTTTGCCCTGGGTCTGGGGAGAGTATTCATAGGGAGGTAAGAGTGGCTAGGTATAGCTGGGCGACTTCTGTTGTTCAGGCAAGGAAGGGTAGCTAGCTGGGATGCCCTGGACTACTTTGGTATGAGGGTTATGAATATGTTCGTTTGTTGGTCTTCCTCGCATTCAGTAACTCGTAAACCTAACTCATGCTCATCATGTAAACTTTTCTACTTCACCGCTCAATCATGCAAGAGCTATCGCTCGCTCGTCAATATTATTGTTCTTTGTATAGGTTCCTCCCTTAGTTGCCAGCCTTGCCGGTATCCTGCTTCAATGACACAATGCGGTTAAGCACCACCTTGTCGTCGGTCGAGTCCGAGTCCACGGCCTGAACATGTCAGTACAACATTAATCTAGAAAAACGCTGGAAAGCAAAGGGAAAAAGAAAGAAAACTTACAAAGTAAGCAACCCGCATGGCCTGGAACCGGACGCTCTCCGGTCCACTCTTGCCCTTCTCTCCCGCCGCAGCAGGCCAAGGAGCCCGGCGGCGCACTTCGTCGAATCCGGCCTCAACCAGAGCCTCGGGGTAAATGGTCTCGCTCTTCTCGTTGATGTCGTTCAGGAAACCTCCCTCCACGGCGGTGGGGTCATCCGACTTAAACAGGGCGTCGTGCACGCGAACCTCCACCTTGCGCGATCCCTCCGGCACCCAGTGGATGTAGGTCTTGGGCTTCTTGCCGTCGCGGTTGAGCACCGCGCGCACCTCGGTGACCTTGCCGTTGGCGTCCGTAGAGAAGCTAGTCGCCGTGATGGGCAACGGCGCCTTAAACAGACCGACCGTCTTTCCGGGTGCCAGACGGAAGTAGTCCTTGCTGTCAGTTTCACGGAAGTCGCTCCGTTCAATGTAGACGGTCTTGGTCCAGGTGAGCTTGTGGGATCCCATGGCGGGATCCTTGGGGGCAAACGGAATATCCAGCTCCGTCTCCGCGGCGTCGACGGTATCGAAATCTTCAATGACAACGGGGAGCGGGTCGATGACGAGCATCAGACGGGGTACCCGCGTCTCGAGGTAGGAGCGCACCGACTGCTCGAAGCGGGAAATCTGAATGACGGTCTTGGCGGTCGTGACGCCGAGCTCGTTGATGAACGACAGAATGGCCTCCGGGGGGATACCTCGGCGACGCAGGGCGATGACGGTGTATAGTCGGGGGTCGTCCCACCCGCGCACGTAGCCGCCATCCACCAATTTCTTCAGGGCTCTCTTGCTCATTACCGTTCCGCTGACGTTCATGCGGCCTAACCAGTTAACAACCTTCCTGCACCCTGGAGCGTTCGAACTCACCATATTCACGCTGCATTGGCTCATACACGCCCAGCGACGTGTTCAACCACTCGTAACTCTCCCGCGACAGAATGAATTCAGTGGTGCACAGACTGTGCGTGATGCCCTCGAAGCTATCGCAGAGACAGTGGGCGAAATCGTACGTGGGATAGATCTGCCACCGGTCTCCCGTCTTGTGGTGAGGCTTCTTCAACACGCGATAGGCCGCCAGATCCCACATTTGAGGGTTGCCTAACCGGTCAGCTGCGTTCATCCCCAGGTTTTCAACAATACTCACCGCTTTCAATATCCTGCTTCATGCGCAGGAAAGCCGTCTGAGGCTCGTACTTTCCGTCCCGCATGTCTCGGAACTTCTGCATGTTGGTCGCAACGTCCTGCTCGGCATGCGCACAGCGGAACCGAGGACCGTTCTTCTCTCCACCGCGCTGCTCCTTGATCTCAACGTCGCTGCAGTGGCACACGTAGGCTTTTTCGAGGTTGATGAGCTTCTCGGCCAGCTCGTACAGCTTGTCGAAGTTGTCGCTGGAGTGCGTAATCGCGTGAGGCTTGAATCCTAGGCTCTGTCAGTACCTCTCTACTCCCCGACCTTGCAAATCCCATACCCAGCCACTGAATGATATCCTCGATCGCCAAGAAGTATTTCTCCTCCTCCGCCTCGGGGTTCGTGTCGTCGAATCTAACAATTAGCTCGCGTTCGTCTCTCGGCAGTGCGATCAATACCTCAGAATCTAAACAAAGTCAGGTCAGTTCCGATCGCATTTTGGTCCCCACTCAACGTACAGTTTGACCCCCATGATACCGCGCAAAACCAAAGTTAATCGCAATGGCCTTGCAGTGTCCCAGATGCAGATATCCGTTCGGTTCGGGGGGGAATCGCGTGACGACGGGCTTGACGGGGCGTTCGCGGTGCACACCAGCCAACCAGCCCTGCTTGAACATGGCATCGGGGTCGAGCTGCTCCTCGGGGGCTTTGGCAGGTTTCGGAGCCGTGGTCTTGGGCGCAGCGGCGGGCTTCTCGGCGGCAGCTTTGGCGGAGGCGGCTTTTTTGGCACGCTTCTGCAATCGCTTCTTCAGCTCGCCCTTGGAGACCATCTCCCCGGTCTCCTCGTCGAGCTGAAGCTTAGCAGTGTTCTCAACCAGCGCGTCGGCCATGGTGGGCGAAATATGGGGTGGTTGGGGGAATAGAGAGAATGCGACTGAAGGAGAGAAAGTGGGATGTTTCTTTCTTTGCCCTCTTTTGGTCCTCATCGAGGGGGAAGGCGGTGACTCATCCGTTGGCCAATCAGCGGGCGAGAGATAAGCCCAGCGGGTCCCGTGACTGATGGCAGCCACACTTATCAGGCACCCAGGACTCTCCATCGGTGCATTCTTTGACTATGCCCTGCTCAAAGTCGTCCCCAGTTGATCCATATCATCTATGACTCCTCTTGACTCTGCACTCGAACCGCAGTCTGTAGCACGATTTGCTTATGACGAATTGCCCAATCGGGCAACCCGATGGCGGGGTCGAAGGCGGTAATTAACATCTGGCAGAAACATGCAGCCTGAGGCATCCGTGGTAGCTACATTCCACGTGCTGGGAGTCCGAACTTACTTTTTGCCCTATCTTGAGGAATACACTGTCTTGTTCCCTCTGTTGTAACCTCTCTAGATCACGACGATAGTCTCTTCGGTAATTTCAATTCTTGTGGGTTGACTTTGTTCTAATCGTGAACCGCGTTGAAAATATACTCCGAGTCTTAAGCAAAGATATATACATCCCGCATCGGGAGCTACCATACTTCTTCTTTAGCCATTGGGGGTTGCATGGGGCTGAGTCACACATATCATACAGTCGCAGACCAAGAGATCCGTGTCATGCAAAAATGAAAATGAAAATGACAGAAAAAGAAATTGACGAGGTAACAACAAAAAACAAATGATGCAGAGACGGCGAGATGCTTGGCTATGTGCCTCAGGCGCCAAGTTGTAGGCGATTTGGCGCCTGAGGTTGCAACATGCCAAGCATTCTCCCCAAGCCCTCCAGCTCTCATAACATCCGAGCATCTGTACACTCCTACACTACCACGAGGCCATCTCATTTCGGTTCAGCCTCGATAATCCCCTGTCCATCACCTGGCGGAGACCAGAACTTGACCACCTTAAATCCAGCCTTATCCAACAGCTGCGCCCATCGATCCGCCGTGCGCTCCATGCTGTTGCAGAAGATCATCATCTCCCAGTCCCACATGGCCTGGAGCATGGCGCAGTCCTTGTCCGCCAGCACGAACTCTTCGATTATGAGCTTGGAGTATCCCTTCTTCATGGCGGCGTGGAGCTGCGTGAGGATTTGCTCGCTCTCTTCGTCGGACCAGTCGTGCAGGATGAATTTCATGTAGTATGTTCGGGCGCCTGTTGGATCAAATTAGCTGGTTGAATTGTGCAGAGGGGATTTTAAGGTATACCTTGAACAGGCTGCGGCTTGAAGAGATCAAAAGGCTGGCGTTCAATCTTGGGATCCTCGATCGTGCTCTCATCCAGAACGTGAGCAAGATCCTCCAATACCAACCGCCCGGGTGCTTCGGGAAACTTGGCCCTCAACGCCGCCAGATCATGACCTCGTCCGCCGGCGACATCCACGAAGAGCACGTCCTTCTCGTCGCCCTGGAAACCGTCGATGATGCGCTCTTGCACAGGGAACCATTCCAGCCAGCTGGGCCGACTCCCGCGATCGCCCTCCATGAATGTGTTGCAGCTGTTCAGGTAGTCCGGGTTCTTCGGCAGCCAGTCCCAGATCACTTCGTCCATCTTCTCGGCGTATTGTAGCGGGCCGTTCGTTGCGCCTTCGGGGTTTCGGAATTCGGTGTTGCGGAGGAACTCGGGGATCTTGGCCAGCGTGGGCATACCGACGTCGAAACTGGTGTGGTCAGTCTGGGTGGATAGGTGTCTCGAGGGCGCACATACATGAATTTGAGCAATCCGATGCTTAATCGGTCGGTCATCTGCTTGGTCATGATGGTGGGCGCATATACTCGCGTTTCGTGCTCCGCGACATACCCAATGCCGGCGAGAATGCGCAAAACGCGCTCTGGCGTTGGTCAGCTTGGTTTTTATTTGGTTGCAAAAATCTTTACCTGTCAGGATAGGACTGGCGTTTTTGACTGCCGCCAGTTCTTCAAGGCTGGTCGGTGCGTTCCGGTCTGTCAGCGTCTGGAAGACACCCAGATCGACTCCAATTCGCACACATAGTGCATGAGTGGGCTACAACCAAAGAAATCAGGTAAACCGTTTTTCTTAAGAGTCCAGCTCGAGTGGGAGATACCGAATATGCAAGGTTGTAAACGTGATCCTGAGGCTTTTGGAACGCTCTCACAAGCCCCTGAGCGGCCTTGAGAGCAGCCAAGCGGTCCTCTTCTCGGCTGTTGCTCTTGAAGGCATCTGCGGCCTGCGTGACCTGGCCGATAAGGTCACCGACCTGTTCAGTTCCAGCAATCGTGTTCGTCGACATTTTGAGGCACAATCGTCAATCCAGGGGTAATTAGGAACAAGACGAAAATGAGGGCAATGGGATCCTCAAAAGTACCCGACCCCAGTGAAACTAGACTCGCGACTCACGACTCGCATGGCACTTGCCCCTGGCGTTGACCTATGGCGGGGGAACAATAGCAGACCGCGCATTTCCCACATGGCCCCATGCCCGCGCCAATGGTTTGAGGGGAAATTTGGAAATTAGGAGCTGTCCTGAGGCCGACGTTCCTGTCTCTCAGGTCCACATACCATTCCTGGCAAGGGACATGGACGGCCTGACAAGTGGGTCTTGCATGAAATGGATCAGACAAGCCGGCCATTTGGATTGTGTTATTCATGGCAAGGTTCCCGGGTGACGATCCCGCCGTTGGCTGCGGCCCGGCTGCTCCGCGCCCACTAAAGGGGACTAATTATCGAGCTACTGGGTTTAGTGCAAGCCCTGGGCAATGTGGTAATGCTCCACAAGGAATATGACGGCGTGTGGTGGTGTGGTAGCGGCTGGCTTTGAATGCAATCCCGGTTCCTCATGATATGACATGTCAATGAGATAGGGGGATCGCATTCCACTGCCACCGCCGCATGGAATTTCTTGTTCGCTTTCTTCCGTTCTACGGCAGAAGCACCCGACCTATGGGAAGCATTTGCTATGGACTAGCATCGATAGCCATGTGTTCCACGTTGTGACGGTGTCGATACTCGTTACAGAAGAGAAATTCGAGATCCTTCACGATGGCAAATGGCAATACCCCTTAGGAGGTCACCTGAATAACGGTCTACCATAATGTCACTCCATTGACCACGGCGATTCTCCACAAAGACGACTCCGACCACATCGAGCCAGGACTCCGTGTTTTTGGCCCCAGATGTGGATCACGAAGGTCCGTTCACATGAACCAGGATCAAGATCCTTCCTCGTAAATTCCTATCGACTTCCCTGTTGGCTACCGAGGGTCGAGCCCAGGAATATAGATCCACTGCCAAGATTCGGCACCCATTGGGCCGTTAGAAAGGCGTTCCTCATCCTTCATTCCTCCTGCATTTTCTGCACCTGAAGATGTTTGTTGCGAAGGTGGAGGCCTACCGATGGACCCATGACCTATATTCATTTTCCGATGCTCTGGGCCTTCTGTCTTGAGTTTCCCTAGGCTTGTGTCGGTACCTACATATCGTCAGTTGGGTTACAGCTAGGCAAGCCTCGCTCCCTTGGGGTTGAAGCTACGATGGCGGACCAGCGAAAGAGTCTCACCGGTGTCTCTTGGGGGTTTGCAAGTGTTTCAATCATTGTCGTTTCCATTCGGGTATATACCCGGGCGCTTTACACACGCCGTGCAGGATGGGATGATTTCTTCATTGCGCTCTCGTTGGTAAGATGTTTGTTGACTTTACCTTCTGCGATTCTAACAGGTAGGGTGTCTAGGTTAGTGCACTTGTTTGCTCTGCCCTGGTGCAGGTCGGCGTCTCCTATGGATTAGGCTTGCATGCGACCGACATCACAAACCCGGAAGCGAAAATCCAAGCCTTCAAGTATACCGTCATTGCGCCGAACTTCTCAATGGTCAGCACGACGACGGGGAAAATCTCGGTCGTGATTTTCTTACTGCGGCTGATGGGTCCGACGGCTTCGGCGTGGCGACGATGGTTCCTGTATATTTTGACGGTCATCTCCATCGGTATGAACATTCTGGCTGTCATTGTTGTTATAGGATTCTGTAGACCGGCGGAGAAGATCTGGCGGCCGGAAACACCTGGTTCTTGCTTCAGTTTGCAATTGCAGTTGGTGGCTGGAACGGCTCAAGCTTGTGAGTGGAAGGTATTGTGTTGGAAATAACTATGGATTGCTGATGACGTACAGCATACAATGCGTTCTCTGACCTCGCCCTGGCTATATTTCCGGTGTTCGTATTTTGGAAGGTGCAGCTGGCTCTGCGCCTCAAGATGGCTGTGATTGCAGTCATGGGGGCTGGCGTTTTGTAAGTCAGGATGAGACTGTTGATCTGAGATATACTGACAGGGAACAAGTGCTGCTGCTGCGACATTAACGAAGGCCATTTTACTGAAAAATCTACCCGCTCATGCAGATATAACGTGTAAGTTCAATCCGGTTATCCTGACTGGCTAGGCACTGACTCCTCCCACAGGGTCCTGGGCCCCGATAACACTCTGGTACACGTAAGTATACCCTCCCGTCAGTCAGCGCACCTTCTAACCCATCTTTCAATCACAGAATAGAAATGTACGTCATCATAATCTGCGCGACCCTTCCCACCCTCCGACAATCCTACTTCGCCGTCCTCAACCGCTCCACGCACCAATCCTCATCCTACAACAAATTCACCCATTCCGGCAAATCCGACCACAAGCAGCGATCCCTACCACAGCCTCGTCGACCAGTCGACGCGTCGCTCTTCGAGACCCATATGACGAACTTCCAGGAGGAGCCGGGCCATCAGCATAGTTCGAGCCAGGAGAATATTTTGCCCGGCGAGGCGATTGATCTGAGTGCGATTAAGAAGACGACGGAGGTGCATGTGTATCAGGAAAGTAGGTCGGATAGCAGTCATGCTAATCCATACTTTCCGAGGGAGAATCCGTTTCGGACGTCGGGTTGATTGGGCGATCATAGTGTTGGTCGGCTGGAAGGTTGATATTGGCTAGTCATAATTGAGGTTTCGTGAAGACCCGGATTGTTATGGTTTGTCTATGCCAGTTGTCATGAAATGTTTCTGAGCGAGGACAAATCTAATTGATTCTGACCTGCTTTAATGGAAAGAAATAGATACTGGATAATAAAGATTTTATACCCTATCCGAATACTCTATCATGCCCTAATCATGGACTTAGGTCTATTCATATAGCCCGGCTATATGGTACGCCCCCGGCGAGCAGTCGCACTCACTGGGTATTATGTTCTGGCTATATTGCCCTATCTGGTCCTTTCAATTATGTTTCGTAATGAGATCTCCCTTCTGTGACGATGGCGACGATATGCGGCATCAGGCCTAAACTGAGACCTACTAGGTGAGCTGTGTCGTGGGACTAGCCCCGTGAAATGCTCCCCACAATTCCGGATAGATTTTATGGGATATGGCTAGGAGAACCGAGAAACATTCGATTTTATTCTTATTGTTAGATCGGGAGTTATTCTTGTGAAGTTGTTATCCAACTTCTCGTACAACCACGGGCGGGAGGCGGGACCCACACTCGCCCACCGATCAGATAACTAAAGCAAAACCCGACGGCTTCCGGCCCTTTCCGCCCGTCTCTTCCCCTGCGCCTTGGTAGGGGCGCTATCCCGGCGGTCTTAGGGCTGCGCGGAGATTATCCGAGAGTTGAGATGCTCATTTGCTGAGTTGCTCATGTACTCTAGGAAACACGGAGTACTTATGGACGTGTTTTGGGGAGCTGGTGCATGTTAAGATATACCAATTGACTCTGTATCAAAATTCTACTGTGGGTCAACTATCAAGATGGTAGACCCTTGCGTTTTGGTTCATGCTGCATACATGATTCATGAAATTCATGTGATGCATTTGATATGAACTTTTGTTCCCATCACAAAATGTCGAGCCCAGAAGGCTCTATCCTCGCCTGTAGATTCACATCATGATATAGCTGGACTACATCACTCTTGTCGCCAATTTCCCTGTGATTCTGGAGCCCACAATCAAGGACGAGGGAGAATGGGCTTCTCTAGCTGCTATTGCGGGAGATGCACCTTATCGTCTCCCTGCTAGCCTTGATTTGCGATCACTCGAACGTTTGGTGGATGCGAAATAATCTGCGGCAGAGGACCATCTCCTGGCTCTACGGGAAGACCCTGGATACTTTGCAGATGTTGTTAATGATTACAAGGAACAACTGCAAGAGATCCTTCGAGATACCAACGGAAAGCCTCATGTGACTATGGCACAATATCCACCGTCTGTGTTCTGGAACCGTGATCTGCAGAATGTTGTTACAGCAGCCTACTTCGCCATTGAAATCTGTGACAGTGTTCGCGGGGCGCTGTCGAACTTGCGTCAACTTCAATCCAAATATGAGGGCCGCATTTTTCCCGAAAAGGATCTCCCGAAGGGACTGTATGACAAATTTGTCAAAGTTCGGTATTCTCCAGAACAATCTACCATCGGACCTATCAACTAAGTGAAGATCGCCGTTCCCCCTTCTCCGCCGCTGCGTTCGTTGTTCGAGCGCGAGCCACAGGTCCCGGGGACGTCAAAGATGCAAGTATTTTTGCGGAAGCATAGAGACATGACTGATGCTCAGAGTGAGCTGATGTGGACATTGGAGACCCTTTGGGGCGATAGTCGGGTCCTACAGCTCGCCGGCTGAAAGACCGTGATGGACATATTGGTACGCCTTGTCCAACGTGATCCGAAGAATCGCGACCTAATATCCTCCCGTGTTGCTAGTATAGTCTCTGATCTGTCCGTTCTTTCCGAATGTCTGTCAGATCGACCTCTATCATCCCTGGCCGGCAACATTCGAAAGCGGTTTTGCCCACAGATCGGATGAGATAAGAAAAGAATATGCGGAGATGGTTAAGGGCTGGGATAAGTTTCTTGTTTCTTTTGAAGGATCCTCTAGGAGTTATGGGTGCCCCGGAGAAGGACCTCTTCTATTGTCCCGTCGAAAAGAGACGGAACAAACTGAATATCGGGCTCATGCGACACGCAAAGCCGAATTTGGACGCGTTCTGGACCGCCGTTGACAGACATCAGCCTGTGAAGTGCGGGATGACCAGACGCAATGCGACTCTTTTTACCCTCTACCGAATGCCCGGAAAGCTTCAGAGGACGCCGGAGTGGGTCGAGCCTACCAAGAAACCTGGTCAGAAAAAACCATCAGATTAGAACGTTGCAGTTCGTGAATTTGAGCTGGAGTGCCGAAGCGAGAAAACCACCGATTCATCGGTCCCCGCAGGGCCCAAGAAGAAGCATAAAGCTCGCGGACAGGCAACGGTTCCTGAAACCCCAGTGGAGGAACGGGCACCCACTCCACAGGTCGATACCCAGCCCACCTTCAATTTTGATAAGCGTTCTTTGAAGGTCTTCTCGACCCTTTTCTTTCAACCCTCGCAAACAGCTCAGCCGGGAGAGGTTGCCTGGAATGACTTTCTGCATGCTATGAGTGGCACGGCATTCTCGGTGCAGAAGCTGTACGGTTCCGTGTGGCAGTTTAGTCCGAGGAACTTGGATGTCGAGCGCAGTATCCAGTTCCATGAACCGCACACGATATCGAAGATTCCTTTCCAGTATGCCAGACGTGTTGGTAGGCGGTTGAATCGGACATATGGTTGGCATGGTGGGATGTTCTATGCCGCTTAGTGGAACTATGTTGATGGCGCACAGACCATACAGTTTGGATGTTCAATTGTAAAGTGACAACATCTTCTATCGATGTCATCAGATATTTCTAAAATGGGAAAGATCTTTTTGAACACAAAGGCATCTTTGCCTTAACTGTGCTATCTCCATTGGCTCACCAGATAGCATCTTAGCATGAAATGACGTGATACGCTAAAATCAGCTAATTCAATTAATCAACCCCTCCCTAAAAATACAGCGTTTGTTGGACATCGCTGCAGGCAAGGCGGAAACTGCAAATCAACATGGTCAATTGGGGAATTATTTGTGAGTTTCTAAGGAACATGCAGCGATCACAATACCTGACCATTGCTAACCCTAACTCCATGAGCTACCGGCGACAACGCCACAAGTTGGTCTCTCCAATCTCCTTTCGTCAAAGCAAAATAAAAAGAGGGCCCCTAACCAACCCGTTTCAGAATTCGCCAAAGACCTCCTCATCGACCCATCCACCCGAGGCGTCTACAACGTCACCCATACCTTCACAGCCGTCGCATCCTCTTCCTCCATTGAGAAAGCCCGTACGTTTCTATCCGCAGTGAACGCACCATCCACTACAACTTCCTACGGATTCTACGATGCTCTCTTCGCCGACCCATCCGTCGAAATTGTATACATAACCACCCCGCACTCGCTACATTACCAGAATGCTCGCGCGGCGCTGATAGCAGGGAAGCATGTCCTACTTGAGAAAGCCTTCACGGTGAACGCCGCTCAGGCAAAGGCTCTTGTGGACCTTGCGAGAGAGAAGGGGCTGTTCCTGATGGAGGCGATGTGGACGCGCTTTTTCCCGCTCGTGCAGTACGTCAGACAGCTCGTCCGAGATGGGAGAATTGGGCCTGTGCAAAGGATAGTGGCGGAGAGGAATTTGGGAAGGGATGTTGAGAGGCTTTATGGGACTGAGCATCGTTTGGTAAATCCTGCGCTTGCGGGGGGTGCTTTGTTGGATTGTGAGTTTTTCTATTGCCATATAGGTGTTTGTGAGTGTGGTTGATGTTAACGTGACGGGTGCTGAAGTGGCCATTTATCCTCTTATGTGGATCTTTCAGATTTTGTATCATGATGTGTTGTCTGATGATGGCATAAGGGCGCCACCGCTGCTATCGAGCTCTGTGGTGAAATATGCGGCAACAGGAGTCGACGAGACATCTACTGTGATCCTTACATTTCCTGGGACCCAGACACAGGGCGTAGCAACCGCTAGCTTAAGGGTTGCGTCTGACCCGACCGATCCAGGAGTTCGCATCCTCGGTGAAAGGGGCCAAATTCAGATATTTGGGCCAGCTACGCGGCCGTTGGGCATTGCCGTTGTTCAGTATGAGGACGGCGGCAGCCGGTTGATCGAGAAGAAGGATTTCGAAATTCCGGCCGGTCATGGATTATTCTGGGAGGCGGATGCTTGTGCTAGGGCTTTGGCTGAGGGGAGGGTCGAGTCTGAAGTAATGCCATTGGATGAGACGGTCCTGATCATGCAGGTTTTGGATCAGGTAAGAGAGCAACATGGGCTGAGGTATCCTGATAATATTGAGACTTGTTAGATTGACATTCGTCATTCTTACACTGACCACCGTGCATTGATGTGATACAGCTATGCCATTTATTACCTCGAGAACTCTCAGTTATTACAAACTCGCGTAAGCTTCGATCCCTATCTACTCAATACCAAACCCCGTACGCAGTTTTATCCACCCATCTGTGGTGAAGGTCATAACTTCACTAGTCTGATGGCAGCACTTTTACTGGCACCGAAGTTGTTACAGTCTGGGACCCGCCCCCAATATCAAATGAAAGTTCAAACCTCAGCTCATGGTTATGTCGAATAATATACGAAGTAAAGTCAGGGTATATGGAGCCCGAAAAGTGTCTGCTTGGCTCAGACCTTTGAGCAACACTTCGAAGCCCATCGGAAGCCAGATATATCCGAAGGATTCTACCAAAATTGAAAGGGGAGCTGTCCTGTCCGACGTGAAACTCAATGGGTGTCGGGAATATCCGCGAGGGAATAGCGATGGAATGTGTCTTGCGCCAGAAGTCCGTTTTTGACTTGGTATACCCGAGGCCGCGGACATAAGTACAGGTCCTGGATGTTATACTGAGGCGGATATACTGAACGACGAGTGTCACGGTGGTGTCTTGAAGCGCTAGGCTCGTCTCGTCGGGCACGCCCACGATGTTGACAGTGATGGGGATAGGAAGGGGATGGTTCAACTGTATGGCCTTGGGTGCACTTATTTCCACTCGATAGGCTAATTCGGGAACACTGGAGGAACCATAGAAGTTTTGTATCTTTTTCTTCAAGGACAAGGGCCCCGTCCCAGTCACCAGCCGGTGGCTCTGGATTCGGGCTGTTTGTGAGTGTGGGCTCATCTCGTAGTGCACTAGCGGGGGTTCGACTAGGCTATGTCGGATCACGAGACGACATGTCTCCGTATGTGTGATAGTTTCGCCGCCGCGACGATAACGCAGCTCAGCTTCCAAAGTATATCTGATCATGCCCATCGAGCCGTCCCCGTTGCTGCTGGCGAAAGTTCCAGGGAGCGTCTGCTCGGCTACGCTGTCATGATCCACTGATAGGAAGCTCGACTCAAAATCATGACGTGGAATCGTCGTGAGCGATGGCCGTAGCGGTATGTTTACTTCGAATGGAAAGGTGAGGCATTCTGCACTGCCTTCGGCGAGATGTAGCGGCCCTCGAAAGAGGTCTTGAAAGGGTTGTACATAGTGAATAACTGGGTTCCGAAGTCAGAGATGATTCTGGGATTAGGGACACGACTCGAACGGAAATAGCTATGCTTGGCTGCCCCCCCAAGTGGGCAAGGCTGATCCGGTGGGTCCCCGGGCGTTCGCATTGGCCAATCTTGAAGGATTCGGACTTTGTTGGCTGAGCGCAATAACGACCTCGGAATAAAATAAACGAGGATGGAGTAAGGCCCCGCTCAGCCGGTTGGTCATCTGGGTGGCATATCCCTTTGCAAGAATAGTAAAAGAGTCCATGCCGAGCCATCCATTCTTGTAGACCAGAGAACGAAATGGATTTCAAATGAGTCATGTCATAGCAGAGCACAGCTGCAAGGCAACATCTTATCGATGTTTTGATTATGATGGTTTACGATAGAGAAAAATTCAGGTTCTTACACTGCCCTACACTACAGACTAGAAAGGACGACGTAGTCTGTATGGACAGGTTCTACGATGCCAAACTCGTGCGTAGTGAACGTTTCTCTAGCACCATAGAGAATGTGAAGACAACGAGACTTCACTACACTTGGAATACTAAAAGCACTCAGCTTCTCTCCGCACTTAATCGAAGAGCAAGGTCGCGAAAAACTGGGTTAAACTGAAATGTAAATGTTGCGTGCATAACATTAAGAAGGATGGAATCAAAAGCGAGAGTACGAGTAAGTATACGACAGTAAAGCAATAACTCAGAACAGGAAGGACAAGGCAGTGAAAACAAAAGAAAACAAAAAACCATTCATCGTCTCCGAGGTTGGTGCAAAACCACATATTGATGCTCTCCACTCGCAAGTTTATAATACCAACCCCTACGGTCTTGCTTGAGGTTGACTTGGACGCGTCGGTCACCTAAATCTATATAACACCGTCCTTCATGGTCACGATACGCTTCGATAGATGAAGCACCTCGTCGACTTTCCCGTTCAAGGCTCAGGCCATCTGTTCTTCGCGTCAGGTCATGCACGGATTGCTCGGTCGTTGCCTGTTCGTGCCTTGTTCGATGTCTTTCTCGTTCTTGTGCCGGTGGTTGCTGCCGGTGTGAGACCTGCAGATCCTGTTCATGCCGTGCCCGTGATTGGGACCGAGTCGATCTCTGGGCGGTTTCAGTGGTGGATGGAGCCAGGTAGGTTGGAGCCGACGTGCGAGACGGCTGATTGGAAGGAGCGTGGTGGATTGGAGCCGACGTGCGAGGCGGCTGTGTCCATGAAGACTCTTGTCCAGAGGAGCTGGAGCAATCAGAGGAGTCATCAAGGGAAATCTGATCCTCGTCTCTGAATATGCCACCCACAATACCAGTCCATTTAGCTCTGGGAGTCTTGTTGTTGTAAAGGTAGTGTCCGGTCTGGATATTCCAACTGAGAAAAAGGAAGCATTCGCGGAGAGACACGGCCATAGGACTTGGACCGTTCTGACGAACTGAATTCGCATCCCATGAGATCACGTTGGAGTGCCACAGGGCGGTTTCTTTTGGCTTGTATGGATGTGCATCCTGCTTCAAGAAGATTGTCTCATTGTAAGTCGTAAGAAACCCGTATTTGACTCCAGCATGGTACATGTAACGAGAGATTTGACCTAAAAAAAGTGGCAGCCGAGAGCGTCAACAGGAGGCACGACAATGACCATGAAAGAAGCAACAGGAAGTGTAGAAACAAGTCTTTCAGGTCTTACGAGAGGGGTCTAACCTACCAAGAGTATGCCGAAATTTCACCTGTCCAGCCATCATGGACTCGTTTAGACCGTGCACCCATGGAGTCTTGGCCTCTCCTACTATCTACAGTTCGCCCGCACCATTACGCACCACAATATCGGGAACCATTGGCCCGAGACTGGTGCCCACACATGATTTGTAATCCCCAAACCTGCCGGGAAAACCCAGAGTGCGGAAGACGGCGCTCATCGCATGGCTCACGTTCTGGCCGAACCGAGCAACAACGCTTTGTTCATCTCCACAGTAAAGCTGCTCTGAGCATGTGTGATGTGGACCCGCATGTTGTGCTGGGGGTGCATATGCAATGACAGATGGGAAGTGGCGCCACCGCACACTATCAGATACGGTGCGAACCTCGTCTGCAAACGATTTCCAACGCACGAGTGTCCCCTTGAATTCCAAGTTGTGAGTCGTGTCTGTCGTTGTTTCGCCAGGTCCGGTGAGGAGGTCAGGGATTGCGGAATATACCAAATCGCGAGCGATGAGTTCAATGGCCATGGTCTCTAAGGCAGCGTTTGTCGAGAAATGAGCAAAAAGAAAAAAGAAAAGAGGAAAAATCAATTCTGAGGTTTGATTTGTGTCTTTGAAGTCATGGGCGTATGTCTCCTTTTATGTTCACTTGCCAGGCTCTGGCTCGCCGGGGAGAGGAGAGCCTGCGCAAGCATGCCTAGATTGATATAAATAGCTCGGCGCGTACTTGTATACAATCAAAGGTCGATGTTGGTTTTGAACGTATCCAGCTGAAACCTAGAGATGTGACTTGTAGGGTGGTATGCACAGTTCGGCGCGTAGGTAGGAATAGCAACCAGGCAAATGAATTTTAGGCGGTTACTGAAACGGACCACCTAGTGTGCGAGTCACTTGGTAGGTTGTAAGCCTCTCCGGGTGACACATAAATGGAACTGACGGGGAAAAGCGACAAGTGCGGAAATTTGTGACCTATCGAATCGCACTGCCCACAAACAATCCCAACATATATGGGTTATGTCTACAGTAGGCTTTTCGAAACTGGTCCGCATGGCTTTTCAAAACCAGGATAGCAACAAGAGACATACTAGGTAAGGGCTCGAGCTAGGGGGTGTCTAGCGCCTGAAACGCAGCGCTTGGAGTTAAGGATATGCACCCATGGAGCTGAGCCGGCCTTCCTATTATATACATATCTTGTCTAAGTCAGTAAAAACCGTAAGCTTCTTGCATTCTTATTAACGTAATCGGTAAGCGAGCGCCGCATGCAAGCGAGCGCCGCACCTCCACCCGATTTCCACGACTAGGTGAGATTTAAGCACCTTTTTACCAACAAAACAATCGCATTTCTATATCAAACTAATTACTAGGTGGATTAGGACATCTAACCCTAGTATGCCCCCGAATATGACAATTAGAACACTGCGGTGGAGCGCGTACACGGGGCCCAACTGCAAGAAGCCCTGGATCCCTAGGTCCAGTATCTTGAGCTTCAGAGACCTGATTCTCCTGCTGAAATCGTTCTTGACCCTCCTGAATAGAAAGACCCTCTGCAGCAGTAAGTTGCTTAGTAGACTTCTTCTTCTTTTGAAGCTGCTTCTCATTTGCAGCTCGTAAATCACGAATTTCTTGACGCGCAAGAGCTGCCTCATTTAGGGCTAATTCGCTGCATTTGATAATCTTGTCCAATCGTACCTCTAAGGAAGAGGTAGGACTCTGTGAGCGTGTTTCTTGCTGCGTACGCCTTTCAAGAAGCTTTCTTTTTACTGTAGATGTCTGCTTCTCAAGCTGCCTAGTGGTATAGGGTGTCTTAGGCACTGAATTGGTTGACCGACTGCCTGGTGGTGTAGGAGTCCTTAATTGAATATTCAACTGACTGAGCACTCGCTCTGGGTTATATGGAACTAGCCCAGTAGCAGAGAAACCACTGCAGATATTGCTAGCAGTAAAAGTCTCTGTACGTGCCTTAGGAAATGCCTTAAGAAAATCAAGCTTGTCAATATGATTGATTCTAAGGCGCATCTGCTTCTCCACTAGATGTCCGTATGCACCCTTCAGTGGTGAAAAGCAGCCAACATCTAGAGGTTGTAGTAGATGTGATGAATGAGCAGGCATACAGATAGGAATAATATTATTCTCATTGCATATCTAGTCGAACTGAGGTGTCAAATGACTGCCATGGCCATCAAGAACTAGGAGACGATATTTTCCAGTTGTACGACTAGTAGTGGTAGAAATAAAGAGATTCTTAAACCAACGAAGGCTTATTTCATCACTAGTCCAGCCATTTGGGCTGACTTCAATCCTCCAGTCAGGTGGTAGATCACTCTGATACCAGCCCTCTATATGGACCTTTCCCTTGAAGATTATACAAGATGGAAGCGCCCATCCAGAAGAGCTAATACACTCAATAGAAGTAACCCATTCCCGATTTCCTGACTGTACAAGACGTGCTCTACCATAGAAATCAGCTCTAATAACTACCCGAGCAATAGCTACTAGACCCATAGCAAAGCCAGTCTCGTCAAAGTTATAAATATCTTCAGATACAATCCCATGCTGCATTATAATGATTTGTACACGGTCAAACCACTCTCTAATAACCTTAGAGTCTTCACATTGGGCACGCCGATAGTCGTATCGTCTAGAAAAGCATGTCTTCAATTCATCATGCCTTTGAACGAAGTTGTAGACCCATTTCTGTCCGATTAATTGAAAAGGTGTAGTATCACGGGCAGCAAGAAGAATATTGGCCATTTCTCGTACATGAGACGGTCAGAGAGATGCTCCACGTTGAATAAGCGATAGAATCCATCGTACAAGCGAAATCTCCTCATTTTGAGTCATTTTATAAGAGTTGGCGCGTGTTTCAAGACGTGTTGGGATACCACTAAACCGTCGACGGAGGGTTCTCTCAGGAATATTAAAGATACGACCTGCCTCACGAATATTGCGGATTTCATCCTTTTGAATAGCAGAAATCGCTAATAAGATCCTGCCTTCTTGCTCAACTAGATTTCTAGCCTTTTGACGCGCTTTTGGAGGCATGGCTGGTAGTTGAATTGAGTGAGGTTTTCGACCGGAGCCAAAACGCGTGAGCTGCGGCGCTCGCTTGCATGCGGCGCTCGCTTACCGATTACGTTAATTGTTGGTTGCTGATCGCTTATGGATAGTTTTGTTGTTTTATCTCAAAACTTGTTTTCGTTATGATAATGATAATAATAATTTTTTTTGATCATTTTCGAATATTTTATTGTTTTATCTCATCAAATTTTTTATTCTCCATTTTGGCGACACATTGATTTTTTATTAATTATTTGTTCTAACATTTTAATTATTTAATTGAATTTTTCTATATCATATTTATTTTTCTTTTTCGACAGTAAAAAAATGATGTTGTAATTTTTTGTTTTTATTGTTGTTTTTTTTTCGAATTTTGCGTTTGGATTTAATATACAATTTATTTTTTTTATTTTTTTGTCGTTTCTTTACAACAATTAATATTCATTTTTTTGTTTTATATATATTTTTGTTTTTATTGATTGTTTTTTAATCGATAAATCAATAATATGTTTTTATATTTAGATTATGCAAAATTTGCAAAATTTTTATGATTTAAATATAAATTTTTTTTAAATAATCATTGATAATAGCAAGATTTTTTTTAATGAAAATATTTATATGAAAAAGAATTTTTTTGTTTAGATGTTTACTTTTATATTAAATGATCATAAATTGATTTTATATTTTATTTTGATCGATTTTTTTCATTTGTTTTTTTTAATTTCGAAATCATTCGCACAAAATTTTTTGATTTAAAGTATAAGATTTTGCAATCAAATATAATTGATGAATTGATCAATAAAAAAATTATTATATTTTTTAATAAATGTTGTGTTTAATTAAAAAATTTATTTTTCGTATTTCATACTAACGAAAATAAAAATAATGATAATAAAAATAATAATAATGAAAATAATGAATATAATAATATAAAAAATATAATGATGGATATGATAATATTAATATAAAATATTATATTTTTATTAAATAAATATATATTGATTATTATTTTATTTTTTTTATTTTTTTTATTTATATTTTTTGTGTTGAATTTACTCATTTTTTATGATTTTGATTTTTGTATTTTTGAACGATTTGATCGATATATTTTTATTTTTATAATATTTGTTTTATTTTTTATTTTGTTAATACGCATATTTAAAATGTTATTATTTTAATTTAATTTTCTTTTTTTATTTGTTGTTTTTGTTTAGATTTGTTTTTTTTGTCATTTTTGATTTTGCTACATCTGTTTTAACAAATAATTTATTATTCATTAAAATTCTTCAATATTCGTGTTTAAATTTTTTAAATTTTTGTTTTTGTTTTTTTTATTAATATAAAACGTTGTCGATAATCAATAAATTGTTATGTTATATTTTTATTAATTTATATTATATCAATATTATTTTTATTTATATATAAATGTTTAATTTATTAATGTGCATATTATTTTTTTTTATAATAATATTCACATTTTTTACATTGTTTTATTTTATTTTTTCATATATATTTAAATATGTCTTCGTTGTTCATTCGATGTTTTCAGACATTGATGCAATTATAATATATTTTTTAAATATTATAATGATTTATTTTTTTTATTGTTGTTTATTTTTAATGCAATTTCATTTTTTTTAATGATAATGATAAATATTTTAAATAATATTAAAAAATCGTCTAATTCTTGCGTTTATTGCAAAAAAAAATGCATTTTATGCAAGAATAACAATTGTTGAAAACTAAACTTGATGTTTTTTTAAAATGCAAAAAATGCAATAAAAATAATATTTATTAATTAATTAATATATTTTAACAAAGATTTAATTTAAATGTATTATTATCAAAATATTGAATCATTTTATCAATTGTTGCATTTGACTATATTTCATTTTTATTTAATATTTTATCAAGTTTTAAATTTAGTCAAATTGTTGAATGAGATCTGTTTAAAAATTAATTAAAAATTGAAAATTGTTTTTAATATAAAATAAAAATTTGTTAAAAAGATTTGTGATAGATATCACGCTATTTCTGATCTCAATCTTTTATAAAAAAGAATTTGAATTTGTTTATTAATATCAACATTGTATTAATTATATAAATATATTTTTGGATATAATTAATTTAAAAATAATATTTATTAAGCTTTATTCGATCAATTTTCAATGCATAAAACATTTATTATTTTTATGAAACGTGTTTTTGTTATAACTGTTTTATTGATTGTTTAAAATATTTGAAAAATTTGTTATAAATTTTAAACACATAATGTGTTGTAACATTTTGGGTTTTTGATAATTAAATTATATAATTAAAAAATAACTTAATAATATAAAAAAAATAATTAATTTGATATCATTTTTTATTTTAAAATAACATCTTTTCGCAATCATATTTTACACAAAATGATACAAAAATATTATATAAATACTTTGTCCGACAAAATATTAAAAAAATTGAATTTCATTAAGTTTTTATATTTTAAATAAACATTAATTTCACATTTGACATTTAAAAATTATAAAATGTCTTTTAATGTTGAAGATTTGCGTTTATATAAATTGCAAAATAACAGATTTTATTTAAAATATAAAATATCTTTTATATTTGATATTACACATTCGTTTAAATTAATTTTGATTGTTTTTTTATTCATTTTGTTACAATAAAATCATTAAATG